AACCACCTCTGCAGTACTAAACTCTACTGACCTGGTATCGACAATCAAGGGGATTGCCCTGTCCCCAGACGACCTGCTTGTCAGTTTTGATGTGGTTTCCTTGTTCACCAAGGTACCTGTGCCTGACACCATCGCAATCATTGAAGACTTGGTTCATCAAGGACTGAATGCTGGGGTACCCCCCCTGGTGAGACACTGCTTAACCAATACATACTTCACCTGGAATGGAACCTTCTACAAGCAAATTGAGGGCACCCCAATGGGCTCCCCCCTATCTCCGGTTGTAGCCAACATCTTCATGGAGAAATTTGAGACAGACGCCATCCAGACTGCCACTCTACGCCCGACCTTATGGAAGAGGTACGTAGACGACACTTTTGTCATCTGGCCACATGGCCGGCCTGCTTAGACCAATTTCTCGACCACATCAATTCCATACACCCAGCCATCAGATTCACCATGGAAGTCGAAAATGATGGCAAGCTACCCTTTTTGGATGTCCTAATCAAAAGGAGACCTGATGGTTCAATGAGCCACTCTGTCTACAGGAAAGCCACCCACACGGATGCTTATCTAAAACCGGATTCCCACCACCATCCATCCCAGAAGAATTCCCTCATCAAGACTCTATATCATAGAGCCCAATGCATCTCCGACCATGAACACATTTCCAGTGAACTCAAACACGTACGCCAAGCTCTTAAGGCAAATGGTTACTCCGACTATACAATCCGCAAAGCCATCACTCCAACCATCAAGAAGGATCCTGTTGAGGAGCCTTTCAAGACCATCACCTTACCCTACATTGCTGGGGTCACAAAAAAGATCTCCAAAATCCTGATTAAACACAAGATCCAGGTCCGATTCAACACAGTACATAAAATCCGTGATCTGGTACCGTCTGTAAAAGATGTGGTTCCAGACATACAGTACCCTGGCGTCTACAAACTAAGTTGCCTCTGTGGTAGCAGTTACATTGGTGAAACCAAACGACATGTCTCGGACCGCATCCGTGAACATAAAGCTGACCTGAAACACGGTAGGACTAACACCTCAGCCGTGGCAGATCACTGTTACAACTCAGTGGGCTCACATGATATTGACTTCTCCAAGACAGAGGTTCTCTGCAAGCCATCTGGCTATCATGAGAGATTCGTTCATGAGGCGATCCACATATACAAACACAGAGAAAATTTTAACCGAGAAGATGGATTCTGGCTCAGCAATCATTGGAAGGACGTAATAAACCATTTCGATACACATTAGGGTGTGTAGAATAATACATAGTGTGATATTAAATGTATAAGATATAGGTTGGTTTACAGCAATACAGTATATAATTTAATGTTGGGTTTATCTATGGCAGTATATAGTACGGTATATGCTCGTGTGATGTAAGAGAATAAGGTTTAGATGGAAGCATATTATAGAATTTTTACGAGGTAAAATTGTAATGTATTACTTGCTGTTAGTAACTCAGCTTATTATAGAGTATAGTAAGTATACTGATGGTGCGATGCAGTTTATACTTTAGTTTTTTTTTTTTTTTTTTTTTTTTTATGTAGTTTATACTTTAGTTTTCTACGTGGTTGTTGAGTAATTGCAGCTACATATCATTAACATTCCTTTCCTTTGTTACTGCTAATCCCTAACCCCCCTTGGTTGCTGCTGATCCTGCATAATGCATGGGCATAATATGACTTTGACACCCCCCCGCCCAACGCCTACGCATTTTCCATGAATATGCTAAATCCCTCTTCACATGCACATTCTTTTTGTTAAGGCGCTCTTCAACCCCCAATGCAGCTTATATATAAGCTCCTAGTTTGGTAGTGTCTCATTCTTCACCTGAAGACGGCTGCTTGCGTTGTACCTGAAACGTCGTGAGAATTGTTTTATTATGTTTTATTTTTATTATTTTATTACTTCCCTTCTACGTGACTTTACCGAAAGAAACAAGAAGATGAATCCCTGCAGTCACGAAAGCTTTAAATCGAAATGTTACAGTATATCATCTGTTTTTTTTCCATTAAAAACTAGTCCCATATAAGTGTTAACATTTATTTTTAAGCATCCTGTATAATGAATTGTGGTGATTTGGGGTGGTGATTCCAATCATTAATTGATGATTTTTATCTACTGTGGCAAATAAAGTGCCTCTAGTTGCTCCAGGCTGTGTGAGATTCAACTACAAAGTAAAGAAAAAGATACAATCCCTTCTTATGCACACATTTCGATGCGTGAACCACAGGCTTAAGAATCTACTTTAATCATTGCATTAATCATCTACTTGCACCCAAATATTGTCCAATAAGTCCTCATTTAACGCAGTGAGACGGCGGGACAAATAACTGAGGGTACGGCCGCCGCTTCACTGTATCATTCCCCGTAGTGTATTACTGCACCGCTCAGCCGCGCAGCTCAAGAAAGTAGTTCGTCATCGACCGCTCAGAAACCGCGTTATAACGGTGCCGTTCCGCGTTGTGCGAAAAGCGTTCCCTAACGGTAGAACCGCGTTACAGCGCAAGCGGGTTATCGTGTAAACAGCACGCATTAAGCGAGGACTTACTGCACCCATTTTAACCACCACGGGCAAATGATGGGAGGTGTTGAAATACAACCTACAGGCTGCGAGTGGAAAGCTGTTGAAACCTTACCAAATGAACAATGTCAACATTATCATAAAAATAAAAATTTCTTTACACATGTCTCAAGCTGTATTTAACACCGTGGTCTGGTGTAAGTTGATATCTGTGGACGATATGCAGTCGCAGTGTCTGGGGGGGGGGGGCTTATCAGAGGAAACAACACACAAGGCATCTTGGCCTGTGAAAAAGAACCCGTAAGAGTAGAAAAATCCTCAAGATCGCACTCTCCTTACTCGGTAAAAAATCGGCGGCCGCAGCTGAAGAATTTGTACGAGCGCTATCTTGCAAATGAATAATACAGGGAGGAGGCTCGAGGGCCAGTGGATGAGCTGCTTTCATCTTCGAGTAATGGGAACTCTCGTCTCACGTTGTAGCGCCGAGTAACAATCATGGATGATCAAGAGGGCCGGGCTCTGGCGACTCGTTTTACATTTGCGAATTTTGACTCTTCAGCGGAGGCGCCTGAATTCCAAGTCGCTAATTTGCGCGCACTTTAAAAATTGCTGTAATTGTGAACGCTCACTCGCGACGGTTCTGGGCTGCGTGAAAAATAATACGGCAAGGTTAAAATGTTCAGAAAACGATCCAACGAGCAGAGTAAAAAAAATAGTTTTTTTTTATCTTTTAGTTAGGCCCTGCAGCAAAAGATGAACTTTAAAAGGGCGAATAAATGAAACGATTCTGAAGACATACAGATATTCCCTTCTAGTAGGAGGGAAACTGTAACAGAATAAAAAAAAATTCCCCCGATATAACATTAAACCATGCGCACGGCATTGTTCTTGGTGTTAAATTGTTTTAATGAGGCTCACATTAGTGCAAAGTTTAAATGATTCCGTGACATCGAAAGCAATAAATGATGAATAAAGCTTAATACTTTTGTCATGTTTAGGTTGGTACCTGTAAACCACTGATTACTGTAATATGTGTAATTTACTACAAATCTCAAACGTAATAAAAATAGGAACTATAACACGTCCCTTGGCAACGCCGATGGTAGAGACGGCAGCCATTTTAATTTGGCTCCATTTTTTTTTTTTGCCGAACCCTAAAACAAGCTACTGATGTCTGAAACCGCAAGTAACTCGCAGCAAAACCAAACCTTTCGACATTACATTTCAATGTCTATGCTCAAATATTCAGGGGAGAGTCGTAAATAACGAGTGTACAGTTGGTTTAATGCAAGGAGAAAACAAATACGTGGACAACACGTTCTGTCTGCGCATCTGTTAACTTGCATGGTTATCTTGTTCGTTACTTCTTTAGAACTGATTTTTGTGTTTAGTTTGTTGTGCTTCCCCGCACCTCTGATTAGCACGGTTGGTTACATATGGATGGCTACGTACGGTACGAAATAAGTTCGACATACATACATACTTAGTATTATTTTATCTTGTGTAATAGGTTTTATCGGGTTTTTACTCTATTTTGCAAATAATTGTGGCAACCATAGTTGCTTTGCTAGGCTGGCTTGCGAAATAAAATCTGTGAACGATTAAGATGGCGTGGAGAATTGACAACATTACAGCGTATATATTTAATCGCATTACAGCGTTCACTCGGCACGCAGCGATACATTCATCTGTAAATTAAAACCGAGCCTTACACTTGCGATAAACGTGTCATGAATCGTGTACGAATTCATGCAAACTGCATGCAAAATATATGGTAATGTTACGTGTAGGCTAATGAAGTGACATTTTCACAACACATGCAATTAAAAATGATTTCCCGCACCTACGATTAGCAAGGTTGGCTACGTACGGTGCGAAAGAAGTTAAAAATACATACTTCCCATAGACTAAGACTACCCATAGACTCAACACTACACCTCCGATTAGCACGGTTGGCTATGTACGGTGCAAAAAAGTTCAACGTACCTCCATGGAAAAAAAATCCAAATTACATAAAATGAGAGAGAGAGACAGATTATTAAAATCAAATCACAACCCTGAATTGTGGCAATTTATCAGATTGTTAACTAGGGTGGGGGGAATTAGTTAATCATTAGATGTTTAATTCTAACACAACGATAATTATTTACAATTACAGGAGCATGCCACTCATGATATTTCTTTTGATCATGGTTGCTGATTAGTTGCTACTTCAGCACACTGGTGTGTTGGAGAGTAAACCCACAACATTTTGCACGTTCTGTTTACGTGACAAACCTTACTAATTGGCTGTGTCGGGTGTTGGCGGGTTTAACGACACATTTACGTTGACGTGACCTAACCCAAAAAACAACAACCCTTATCACAAACAGCATTGGTGGCAAAAGCTAACATCTAAACAAACGAAGATGAACAAAAACACACACACACGCATCCACTCAAAAACAAAATCGCGTACCCGATCCGAGGCTGGAGTTGATGAAAATGACGGCGTCGTTCCAGGAGTCTCCGCCGGAGACGGAGCAGGACCGCTGGTGCCGCGGCTCTGGAGTGTGGGCGTGCGGCGGCGTGTGGGGTGGCGGCGCGCGGCCTGGAGAGACGACAACAACGACGGCGGCAGAGCCGCACCGTCTCGAGACCTCTGGAGCGCCGTGGTTGCGCGCGCAGGGGCCAGCGACCCCAGGGGTTGCGGTCACACTGACGTCGCGAAGTCACGCCACCCACGCTCCCCCTCCATCGGCTGCATCCGCCGGCCTCGTCGCTCTCACCGTTAGCCACGTCATCGCTAGCCCTTTTCAACTGCTCTCACCGCCAGTCAAATACCCTAGCCATGAAAAAAATAAAATGATTTACTCTTTCTGGCAATAAAACAGGTGTTAAGATGTTCAAACACCAAATAGAATCCTTTTGCAAGGAATCAAGTCTGCATCAACTACACGTACTTGTAGTGAACAAGCAAACAAAAACATGCTCTGATAATACATGCATTGTCTTTGAAACTGATAGGTCTACACCAGAGACAGCCTTCTTTAGGGCCTAGTCTCACCAGTGTCAGGCCAGAGAACGGCAAAAGGCGAACAGTCATGTCACTCGAGCCACGTCACTCCCACTGCTAGGCATGTCACCTACACTCTCACCGCTAGCCATGTCACTCCCATTGCTAGCCTTGTTAACTGCTCTCACCACCAGCCAAATACACTAGCCATGTCACTTCTTCCACTGCTGTCCATGTCCTCTATACATCTGTATACTTCTAGCCATGCCCACTGAGGTCTTTGGATTTGTAGCAAAGTGTCCACAATCCACTGTACCACCACTGCCTTCCCTTCGGGTTTAAACATAGGATTTATGAAGACATCGCAACAGCTGGGCGCAGAACAAGGCTACAGCAAGACTACAACTAGGACTGCCACGCAGACTCACCTGTGAGGTTGAGTCCGCTCAGCTCCTTGCTCAGCCCGTTGGTCTTCGGACTCGCTCCGGGAACCAGCGGTGAGCCGACCGCGGCGCCGATCAGCGCGCTGCCCGACGTCACGGACGCGGAGGCCGACATGCCGGGGACGGTGGCCCTCGGCGGGCGTTTTCCCGGCACCTTTACCGTCGTGCCCAGCAGGTCCACCACTTTTCCGTGGACGTTCTGCATGTAATCCTGTCCGCCAACACAAACACGGTTATAATAATAAGTTCGCTGCTGCTACTGCAGCGGCAGGGTGATACCACAAATATATTATTCGACATAACAATTTCAGAATCAGGATCTTTATTTAGACTGTAGGAGGAATCTGATGAGCTATAAAGCTCTTTTTTCACAGATTTCCATTACAGGCAGGTCAGAAGGCTACAACAAACAATACAAAAACTCCATAGGAGTGCAAAGTATTGGAAAAGTAAAGAAATAACTTACAAAAATATAGAAATACAACTACACTATTTTTTTACCTTACCGGGTAAAGCCCACTCACCTATTTGCTTCTTTTTCAGAAGCGACCCGGCCACAAATGATAGCTCAACGAAGTGGCTCATCACGTGAACGAAGTGGCTTATCATTTAAAGGTAGATGCGCAGCGCTGCAATTGCTGTGCTCACACTACTGTTGGCAGAAGGGCCTCCCCCACTAGAGGCAGCTCAAGAAAAGGTGCTCTCTAGAAGGTATTTTTGGCCTACTCTTCCACGCTGGCCAGGCGTCTTTTTACGATGGAGGAATACCCTCACTTTACCCCACCGCACAAGACCTGCCAATCACCCATTTAATACTGTATATACTCTTAGTTCTTTCGGTAAAGTCACGTAGGTAAAAAATGAAATTAAAATTAATAAAAACAAAATAATAAAATCACACTTGATGCAGCAAATCTGGCTGTGACGGTCCCACCTGATGACGGAGACTTGTGTTGCCTCCGAAACGTCGTGATTTTATTATTTTATTTTTTATTAATTTTAATTTCATTTTTTACCTACGTGACTTTCCCGAAAGAACTAAGAGTATGAATCCTTGCAGTCACGAAAGCTTCAAATCTAGAATCATTTAATACTGCTTGTTGTACAGAGAAGTGGGGATTAATGAACGTGCCAAACGTTGCTTCCACCACCGCACCTGGAAATCAAATCCAACCGGTGGCCTCTAGATTGCAAGTCCAGCCTGCTAACCATTACACCACTGTGGCAGCATCATCCCAACTCGATATAAGAACCTGCAATAATATCGTGCATATTGCAAAATATTGTTATATATGGTGATTATTGCTGCTCGTTTCATGTATCTAAGAAAAGCGTTCTTTCCTGACAAAATATTAAAATAAAATAAACTCAAACTCGACAATGAAAGTCGCAAACAAATAGCAAAAAAAATCCACAAAATTACAACTTACTTAATGTTTTTTTTTCAGTGGTTGACAGCATGGAAATTATACGACACCATCATTTTCATAGTTCATTGACTCATTTAATTGGTCTTGTGAAACTGACAGCACGTTATACGCATTATAAATTGTAATGATTAGAAACACTTATGCCAGGCTCAAGATGAGCGAACTGCAGTCGAAGAACTTTTAACTTTGGACATTTATGACCATTATATATATGAACACATATTCTTATTTGCCCAGGAAAACCTTCCAGAATCTCATGACTCTGTCCCAGGGGGGTCCTGTCAAGTTGTCACAGTAAAGGGATGACGTAATTGTTTACATTTTTGTTGTTGTTGCAAATTTGGACGATGACACCTACACACGGTAGCTTACTCTTGCAAATTACGTCATGGGCTCTATTCACGTCCACCGTGAGCGAAGCAGACGGCGTGTAGTTTAACAGTTAATGCACACCTAGAGTAATACGTACGTATGCATGTTGAACTTCTTTCATGCAGTACGTTCAAACGCTGGTCTTGCTAGTCACAACCGAACTCACAGGAATCAAACTCTACAACCACGTAAGATGACGAAGGATTACTGACTCCCGATGTAAGAGAGGTCATCGTCCTTGGTGACAGACTGCATTATGAGTCAACCGTGCTAATCGGAGGTGCGGGGGAAAGACAACCGACTAAATACAACAAAAATAACCAGGGCGGCCGGTGGCTTCGAACCATGAACCTCCGCCAACAAGCGGAGAACGCGCGACAGCTATATGGCCACGTCACCGCCCTTATATTCATACTTCACCATGCCTGTCAGTGCAGGTTTGGTGAAGGGGGGGGATGGGGAGGAGGATGGGGAGGTTGATGGGGGGGACACACAGGATCGATACCCAGGACCGATTCAGATATCACTCGCCACCAATTTTGGCGATTTGTGCTCATAGTGCAGGTTGCTCGCCGCTCTGCCACTGCACGTAACACACACTCACGTACTCACTCGCCCACGCCGTCTACGGAATTACTATTCTAGCAGGGAAAAAAAGGCAGGGCAAGTATATAAATTTATTAATAACAATTTGGTTAACAATGCACATCTGTTTGGATGGGTGCTCTACTTTAGCTTTGTCCCGGGTGTAATTAGCACTCGTTACGCCGTAATTAGCATGTTTGCAAAGGCTAATTGAATGTAGCTCAAGCCACTGCTGTAATCAGGAGCAGAATCCCTTGATTAAGGGCGGCAGAAAAGAGGCAATCACAAGACAGCTCGGTCAATGAACACAAATAAAGACACAAGTCACATTAACGCTTTCCTCCCTTTGCCTCTTTATCTCTTTAACCAAAACTTAAACAACAAAACAATGAGGACCGTCTGATGCACGATTAGAGCAGAGACGCTTTTCACTTTCAACCTCGCCATGAGTCATAAATGTAGCCAGAGGTCAACTTTAACCACTTGTGATTGTAGTCAGAGGCAACCCACATATATGTTTGACAATGGTTTTTTTCAATGGAATGTTCACCAAAGTCTGTTCTTAAGCGCTTTGGCCAAACATCCCAATATAGGACCACAGAGCATTGGGAAATTGTTAACGCCTGTTCTGACCGCCCTTCCTGCACGCCTGTGACTTGCTGTACCAACCTGCGGGAAGAAAACTGCACCCGCCACAAATTCGGCACCGTTTTGAAGAGAATCTACACGAGATTATGTACGTAATAATATTAAAATATTAATTACTGTTATTCGTGAACAGCGAGCTTCCGAGGAAATGGCGCCATCTCGAATGGCAAGTGCTGCTTAACCTAGTATTTATGCTGAAGTAGTCATATTTTCCACTGCTAGGCTATCAAATGGCATAGGCGACGCATCTATGGATGGAGAGGACTTCCGACTTCACCAAAGGCTTTTGCAGCCAAATGAACTGGGAATGAAATGCCAACAAATAATAGCGGTCCACCAGAGCGGGACGAAATAAATAGGCCCACTCTATCTGGACATGGTCCTGAGATGCGGTGGCATACGTACAGTGCTATACAGTTCCAAATTGTATTGCTACGGTATACAGCAATATATGTAAACAGGCAGATGGTGCCATGATGTAATGATTATCACACTGGACTTGTAATCCAGATGTTACAATTTAAATCTCCCTGTGCAGTAATTAAAACAATGGTCAAGTTACTTAAACCCCACACCCACCTCCCATCTATCCGCCACTGGCGCCAACGGTGGTGCCATGGTGGAAAGATGTTAACTACCTCGCCTGGTATACAGGAGGTTGTGGATTCGATCCCGACCCTGACGCCTGTATATATGGTGTCTGCATGTTCTCCCCGGAGTCGCATGGAATTTTCTACAGATCCTCCAGTTATTGGCTGCTGCAAATGCCCACATGATAAGCCACTTTGCTGAGCTATCATTTGTTGCAAGGCCGCTTCTGGAAAATAAGCTGATAAGCTCAGTGGGCTTTACCTGGTAGAATAAGCATTTAATTTTTATTATTTTTATCATTTTATATTTCCCTTCTTCGTGACTTTACCGAAAGAGCCAAGAATATGAATCCCTGCAGTCACGAAAGCTTTAAATCACATTGTTTATTTTATTTGAAAATATTTGTTTACCTTTCCTACACTTTGCACTCCTTCCTTGTGTTTGTATTGTTTCTTGTTGTAGCTCTGTGCCCCGACTAGAGATCTGTGAAAAAGAGCTTTACAGCTCATCAGATTCCTCCAGTGTAAAATAAATATTCAGATTCTGGGATGAAGAGGCGATATATTTGGGACGAGAGGAATTGCTGCAGTGGGTTAGTTAGCGAGCGAGCGAGCGAGTTAGCGAGTGGTTATCATCAGGTCAACTGGGCTGGTTTATGCCAACTTCTAACACAGCCAAACAAGTACAAGGCATTGCATTACAAGTTTCACACGACAGCTCTAGTTATGGCCAAACGTAGCAGCAGCAGCAGAATATTTTTCTGGATGGAATAATGATTTGGCACGCTTTCAAACGCATTTGATGTGGCGTGGGGATCACTCGAATGCACAAGGATTCGTGCATCCAGCAGTGCACGGAACATCGTTATAGCGAAAACACCACAACTGTGTTTTTTCATTGATTCACATCGAGCCTGCCCTGTCAATCCACTGGTGGATCAACGCGCCATGCTGTGTGGATGATAGGGATTGTTTGCCCATACTTCACCATGCTGACTAGGATGGATTTAGTCAAGGCATAGAGCAAAGACGTCGGAGCGTATATCAGTTCAATGGCTTTTTGCTACACTGCCCTCTCTGCTGGCAATGTATCCCTGTACCTATAACACGTGATGTATGGTGGTCGCCCATTCCAGCGTTCTTTAGTCTCAACCCTACGCTGGTCGGTGCGTGTTGGTTTCGGTGGCGAACACAGAACTACACTACAACAATTGACAGCGCAGTGCACTAACCACCGTCTCACTCGCCACACAGAGACACACAAGCACACATACATCACAGAAACACACACACGCAAGTACACAGACACACAAAGACAAAAATCCCCCGCATAGCCTTACCAGACTGTTGGGGCAAGTGCCGCTATCAAACACACACACACACACACGAGTACAGAGACACACACACACGCATACACGAGCACAGACACACACACACACACACGCAATTGCAACCAGTTCAATTTCACGCTCGATAATTAAAATGTTGCTGAAAAAAAGTTCCACGAATCCTTTAGAGTGTGACCTTCTCGTGGAGGCGTAGAGAAAGAATGGAGGAAACACGTGGGTATTTATACATTCCAGGTCACCAGGGAGGGGATATACTTTGGAGACCATATCAGAGGGAGACAGACAGGACAGTTGGATTCAGTAGGGGCAGCAGGGTGGCACAGTGGTGGCACTTGTGTCTCGCAGCCAGAAGGTCCTGGGTTCGATTCCCATCTCGGGTGCCTTTCTGCGTGGGGTATTTGTATGCTCTCCCTCTGATCTGCATGGGTTTCCTCTGGATTCTCTGGTTTCCTCCCATAGCTAAAAACACAGACATTAATAATAATAATAATAATTTACATTTATTTGTATGGCGCCTTCCACTAATGTCTCAAGGCGCTTTGTTAGAATAAGGACAAGGAAAGGCCAAGAGAGACGGAGCAGCTGAATAGTATGAACTGACTCGAGAAGATGTGTTTTTAAGACGAGACTTAAAAGTATCCACATTGTCGGAATAAATAATTTCCAACGGTAGGGAATTCCACAACCGTGGCGCAGACACAGCAAACGCCCCTTTCTTCCCAAGAATGCAGCCCGGATCGAGGTACGCACAAAAGGGCGGAGTCTGCAGGTCTTAACGACCTTGAGGGGGGTATCCGGATGAATTAACTCGTGAATATATGGTGGTGCCAGCCCATGCAAGGCTTTAAAAACTAGTAGAAGGCTCTTAAACTCTACTCGTTTCACGACCGGAAGCCAGTGTAAATGATAAGAGAACAGGAGAAATGTGGTCACGCAATGGGGTTCGGGTAAGCACCCCAACTGCCACATTCTCAACAATTTTTCGTCGACCAAGGACCTTATTTGAAACACGAACCAGCGAGGCAATGCAGTAATCGATTCGCGAGAGAACAAGTACACGAACCAGCCGCTTAGAATGCTGGCCAAACGTCCCAATGCAGGACCCTCTTGAAAAGGGGCCTTCAGACTCAGCGTGGGTCTCCTGGGTAAAGAAATCATAATTTGAGAATAACGGACAGAGCCAATATCTCCGAGCACATGTACAGCCCTTCTTGTCAATCCACTGCTGCTGGATGAGGGCCTCCACATGTCATCCAGGTGGTGAGGGATATAACATGACCCTACCTCACCACGTTGATGCCAAATAAGGCCCCCCCCCCCATGCTGTAGAAGACATGGGGATTATCTGGCTGTATTTCACCGCCCTGGGCAGTGTGGGTTGGTGAAGGCAGGGGAGCATATAGACGTGGCGGCATAGAAGCGCAGCGCCACTAAGGATCTGTCGCACTCCCCTCCGCCGCCTGCCGCACAGCCTCGCAGCCGCCTATGACGTACGTATGTATGTTGAACTTTTTTGCAACATACGTAGCCAGCCGTGGTAATCGGAGGTGCAGTGTTGAGTCTATGGGCAGTGTTGAGTCTATGGGCAGTGTTGAGTCTATGGGCAGTGTGAGTCTATGGGCAGTGTTGAGATTATGGGCAGTGTTGAGTCTATGGGGTAGTGTAGAGTCTATGGGCAGTGTTGAATCTATGGGCAGTGTTAGTCTATGGGTAGTGTGAGTCTATGGGGTAGTGTTGAGTCTATGGGCAGTGTTAGTCTATGGGTAGTGTGAGTCTATGGGCAGTGTTGAGTCTATGGGGTAGTATTCATATTCTTAGGTTTTTTCGGTAAAGTCACGTAGGTAAAACATAAAAATTAATAAAAGTAAAATAAAATAAAAATCACGACGTTTCTATGGGGTAGTGTTAGTCTATGGGTAGTGTTAGTCTATGGGCAGTGTTCAGTCTATGGGTAGTGTTAGTCTATGGGTAGTGTTAGTCTATGGGCAGTGCTGAGTCTATGGGCAGTGTTCAGTCTATGGGTAGTGTTAGTCTATGGGTAGTGTTAGTCTATGGGCAGTGTTCAGTCTATGGGCAGTGTTAGTCTATGGGCAGTGCTGAGTCTATGGGCAGTGTTAGTCTATGGGCAGTGTTCAGTCTATGGGTAGTGTTAGTCTATGGGTAGTGTTAGTCTATGGGCAGTGCTGATTCTATGGGCAGTGCTGATTCTATGGGCAGTGTTAGTCTATGGGCAGCATGTATGTTGAAATTTTTCGCACTGTATGTATCCAACCGTGCTAACCGCTAATCGGAGACAACCTGTTTGTCGATAGCAGCCGCCCCTTCGACCACGATCCGCCCGGACGCAAGTAGCCACGCGCAATGACCGACAGATCTCGAAACGGACGACAACTCACGTGCAGGCTTGGGTGGTAGGTGAGCGTTCCGTTGTCACACAGAGTCACGTATTTCTTTTTCCACTCCTTATTGAGCGACTTTCCGCTCCTCTTCAGCAGAACACCCTGTGGGAACAAGGGATAACGGGGGGGGGGGGGTGGTGGGGCAGTGGTGGAAAAAATATTTTACAAGGGCAGGAAGGTAGAGAGGTTTAGGGATTGAACGAAAACAACAAAAACACAAGTGTGCAGACATGTATAGGTGCAGGTCAAGGACATTTAAACTCCTCCACTGTCTATGACGGACGGACTGTCTAATATCTATGGAGCTCCTCCATTCCTCACACCGATCAGCTACTCCCAGTGAAAACAACTGGCATGTAAGGATACGTAGATTCGGCAATTAGAAATAGCTTTGTCCGGTTCGAAAGTAAACTTTCAAAAATAATCCCTCCCGTTTGTTTCATTGTCGTGTTCTGCCCCCTGTGTGTATGGACCAGATGAGGGAAACAAAAATACTTGCAAATAATTTCTTAAACTCGTAACCTTTTCCCAAGCCGCCTTGTTGATGTGAATTTACCACATTTATACTCTTTGGTTCTTTCGGTAAAGTCATATAGGCATAAAATAAAATAAATCACGACGTTTCGATCGCAACACAAGCGACCGTCATCAGGTGGAACAGATACAACTGCTGTGGTACAAACATTTGTTTGGACCATATGTTGAGGATGCAATCGCGTTCATGCGTTTAATACCTCCCGACTGTATTGCACTTGACAAGAAAATGTTACCGTACAGAGAACTTCTTGAAAAAAGACAGCGTGATTCTATCTAAACAAGTGGCACTGTGAGTAAGCCATTTGACTCACAGTAGCAAGATTACCAGTTACAACCTCTTGACTGAGCCAAGCACAGTGTAAACAAGGTACAGGTGCGAACGTGCAAATGACCGTCTCAATCCACTGCTGGCGGAAGTACCTCCACTAGATGGAGCTCTAAATATGTCCCAATAAAGGGTATTTTGGTCTACTCACCCACACCGCCCAGACATATTGGTAGAGGTGCGAGGGTACCCACACTTGATTTCACCACGTGCAACCTGCCGATCGACTGTGCGTGTACACCCATTGATACCGCTGGGTGGAGATTGTTTCAACTGCCGTGCAAGGGGATCAAATTGAACCGGTGGCATCCGGATTGCAAGCCCGGTGCGCTTCACCGTTACTCCATGGCAAGATATCACGTGAAAACTTTTAAGCAGGAAAAACGACAAGGAAATTGTGACCCGTCGAAGTCAATGAACCCTCCGTGCCGGACAGACTCGATCAAATGTCCCGCCCTAGTGCCACTCAACCCATCCGTGCGTCCTTGCAACACGCCCCCCCGACCAATCCCGCGATCTCTTCGCCTCTCAGTTTGTACCATCGGTGACCGCCATTATCTTGACAAAATGTGGGCAATTAGTCTAAGGAAAGCATCCCAAGGCAGTGCCGAGGTGATTAATAATGATCATCACTCGTCGGAGAGAGCGCCAGTCAGACATATAAAGCGAGAGCAAAAAATAGTAGTAGTAATTATACTGATACTGTAATGCATTAATAACAGGAGATCAGTCAAGTGCTCCGTGTGCCCGACGCAAAGCTTTCAAAGTAAGGCAGGATGGAAATTGCAGGAGGCTGTGGAGATTTGGAGAGGCGTGGTAGAGGTTTTGTCTTCGCAATTCCACATCCAATTCACGCCGCACGACAAAAGCGCGGGCCCCCGACACTGAGAACGACCACTGACACTCATAATCAACGTTTTTGGGTTTAGATCGCGTTATTTATAGATGTGTCGTAACCCTCCACCACCCGACACGGCCAATCAGTAAAAAAAAAAGTGTCACGTTGACAAAAGACAATTAGTTCACTGCTTTAGCCCACCGGTGTGTTGAAGCATGAAACCATAACATTTACAATTTGAGTACGACGTTTCGCTGGTAATTGCATCCAGCATCATCGGGCAATTCGCCACTGACACTGCTGACGGGACATTGAAAGTTGAAACCGGTTTCCTCTTCCTTTCTGCAACACGACGAAGCAGATGCTATGTGGGGGGTGGAGGGGGGAGAGCCGCGATCGCCCGCCTTTTAAGACCCCAAAAATATTTTTGGGTATTTTATTATATTTACGATAACAAAAATATACATTGTCTTATTATAATTTTTATAAGGGTTCGACGTATAAAGCCTGACATTTCAGGACTGTGCCCCCTTGGCAAGTTTCTAGATCGGCTGGCCTCTGCTGCCAAATTTCTCCTGTGAAGTTTCTTCATGGATAATGTCGCCACTGGTCTGCAGCATTCTAGACCTCTCTTCTTCATTTAAAAATAAGTTTTTCTTCATTAACCATCATCATCATCATCGTGATCTCCCCAAGCTGCTGTCATCCCTCAGTATTGCGATTCAGCAATCCATCCGGCTGTCGCACACGAGCAGATTTGATCGTTCCATCTCCGTGGCTCACATCCTCTCTTGGGCGTCTTTCCTCATTTTGCTGACACTCGACTGTTTGTTGACCACCTGACATCATCCCTTTCATGGATGTTGAACTTCTTTCGCACCATACATAGCCAACTGTGCTGATCGGAGGCGTGCGTGAAAGACGACTGAACACGAGAAGCGATTCTCAAGGGATGAGTTTTCAATCTAAGATTTAAACGTGCATAGCTCCAGTGGCTTCCTAATATCGGAAAGAAGCGCATCTGAAAACGCGTGATGCAGTGACCATCTTTGTTTGATGGCTAGTTACTTCATTTACACAAGTCAATATGAAACGTCGAGCTTGTGCATGTTCCCTTAGTCCATGTGTTCCTCATTCCAGAGTTCTCATCATCATCAAGCATGCAAAAAGCAGCCGATTACAATTGTTATTTGTGCATCTATCATTAAAACATCTGCTCCTCGGGCCTGGAATGAGTTTTCGGCTGTGGTCCGGTGCACTACGCATCTCCGTGTGTTTAGAACGGAATTCGGGACTCGCTACTTCCTCATTGCTTTCTCCGCAAGTGCATTTTATCTTCAAGCTTGTTCGTACAATGTTTTAATACCTAGCTTAAGTAGGGAGGGGGGGGGAGGTGATATTACATGACGAATAAAACCTCTTATGATCTTTTTGATTAATCGAATGAACCGTGCCTCATTGTGCCCTTAACTGCTCCCCCCTTTACCTGTTTAATGGGGATCTCTCGACCACTGCCGATGCTGTCCGATTTCCCGTCCAGGCTTTTCTTGTCCGAGTCGCTGCCTTTCCGCGACTTCAAACGCAAAGAAGAGAGAAAAAGAGACAAAAAAGCTCAACATCTTGACTTCGGGGTTTCACTCGACATCATAATTTACTACGGGCGCATACAAATGGGGTGAATTCTATTCTTGATTCTTTCGGTAAAGTCACGTAGAAGGGAAATAATACAATAATAAAAATAAAACATAATTAAATAAAATTCTCACGACGTTTCGGCCACAACACAAGCAGCCGTGCCATTGAAACGTCGTGAGAATTTTATTGTTTTATTTTTATTATTGTATTATTTTCCCTTCTACGTGACTTTACCGAAAGAACCAAGAATATGAATCCCTGCAGTCACGAAAGCTTTAAATCAGGGTGAATGATATCGCACGTACGTTTCTATCATCAATACGATGCTCCGCCACTGTGAGAAACTGTCCATCCACCTGTCGTTGAATTGGACAGATTTCACCAGATCTCCAAAGCTCAGCAGGGTTAAGAACTTGGTAAGAATTTGAAAGGGAGAATGCTGGGTTTTGCAGACTTGTGCTATGACGTGGACAGGAAATGGCATACAACTGAAGAGGAGTCGGAGAATGGTTAAAAGACTTCTTTATTTCTCCAACGCACAGCAACACTTGTTCCAAAACCGACCCCGAACACATGTCCCACAGCCCCTTTAAACCCCTCCATCTCCGCCCTCGCTTCCAATACACATTCACGTTGGGCACGCCTGGTCCGGGTGACGTCACTGCCCTTTAACCCCTGACCCCCTATACTCTGTTTTTTTCGGTAAAGTCACGTAGGTAAAATTTAAATTAATTAAATCACGACGTTTCGGGCGCAACACAAGCGTCCTTCTTCAGGTGGGGACAACTTAGCGGAAGCACAACCGCTAAAGTGTGTCTCCACCTGAAGGACGCTTTGTGTTGCGCCCGAAACTTCGTGATTTAATTTATTTAATTTTTTTACCTACGTGACTTTACCGAAAAAACTGAAGAGTATGAATCCTTGCAGTCACGAAAACTTAAAATCTAGAACCCCTGACTCCCATCCAGCGCATTCCCGCACGTGTGATTGGTGCGTGTTATAGTGAGAGCGGAGATGTCGTGTCTTGCATGGTGCGTGCTCGTGAGGGTGGCTCGCAGATCCCTTACACAACAATGGATTCTACCATTCCAAGAGTGGGTTTCCTCCTACGACCAATGAATTATCCCCTCATTTCAGGAGCTAAGTGTGCTTGAACCTGGATACTGTGTTACAAACATCATGTATCTACCATTAAAACATCTGCAGAATTAATAATGATGAAAACAATTAATTTGGATATAACGTCGTGCATGCAAAACTGCATCTCACAATGCTGTACAAGTCAATAGCAATTCGAAAAAAATAAAAATATAAATTTTAATGTGCCCCCTCGCAAACAACATAGCACACCAAAACCAAGGTTTCTCCTTCTCCCGAACCTCCGACTAGCACGACTGGCTATGTACGGTGCAAAAGAAGTTCAACATACATTCACACAACTCAATTAAAGGCCATAGTTAAGAAAGAGGTAAAAAAATAACCAGGGAAACCAGTGGCTCAAGCCATAAACGTCTACTACGACAAGCCTCAAACGCGCTGCTGCCCATCCACGTGACTTACGGCGAAGATGTTTGACCGCCAGCGCGAGGGTTTGTGCACGGGGGTCGGAGTGGCCGACAATGGCGGGGCTGGGCCCTCTCGGCACTTGGAGGCGTCACGAGGCCCTCCGCCGGGCGTCGACGGGACAGAAGAGGAGCCTTCGCTCAGAGTCTCGCTCGCAATGCTGCCTCCTCCTCCTCCTCCACCTCCACCACCACCAACCACCTAGAGTTTACACACACGCACACAACATTAACCCTTTCCCGTTTGGATGATGTACGTCCACGTCTACGGATGAGGAGCCTTCGCACAGAGTCTCGCTCGCAATGCTGCCTCCTCCTCCACCTCCACCACCACCAACCACCTAGAGTTTACACACACGCACACAACATTAACCCTTTCCCGTTTGGATGATGTACGTCTACGTCTACGGATGAGGAGCCTTCGCACAAAGTCTCGCTTGCAGCGCTGCCTCCTCTCCTCCTCCACCACCTAGAATTTACACACACACCATTAACCCTTTCCCGTTCCGATGATGTACGTGCACGTCATCAGTTTGCCCTCCGTTTGCGTACGTTTACAGTCAGGATAACCGAACATAAATTCCAGAGCTGTACAGCAGCGAAAGTGAAAACAACGCTGTAGCAGTCTCCGGCGACACGTGACCTCCTTGGGATCGCCAGTGCGTGGGGCCGCGCTTCCTCACCTGGCCAACGGCAGCGGAGGGGGTGGAGGCGGAATGCACCAGGATGTGGCTGGGGGAGCTGGGCAGCGAGCGGCACGGGCCGACGGAGAGCTGGGACTTCTTGCGCATCGCCACCACTTTCTGAGCGACTGTGGCGATGCACGCACACACACACACACAGACGCAGAATCAAAATGTTTAATATGCTGGAGGAATCCGATGAGCTGTGATGCTCTTTTTTGCGATGTTCAGTGCGGGCACGGGGTCAGGACGTTACAACAAACGATACAAAAACTCGATGGGAATGGAAGGTACAGGAAAGGTAAGCAAATTACTAAAACAAACACAAAAATAAAACTAAACTATTTTATTTTACCAGGTAAAGGCTATTAGCTTATTTTTGCAGAAGCAACCTGGCCACAAATGACAGCTTAACGAAGTGGCTTATCATTCGGAAATTTATAGCAGCCAAATACTCTTAATGAATGAATTTAAATGTGGAAGGAACCAGAGAAAATAATCCACGCGACCACGGGGACAATGTGCAAGATGCAAGATCCAAATATCCAGGCGTCAGGGTCAGGATCGAACCCCTGACCTCCTGCATACCAAGTGAGGAAGATACCACCATCACGCCACTGTAGTGGCAGACAAAGCAAAGATCCCCCCGTATAGCCTTCACAGACTATTAGGGGCAAGTGCTGTTAGGGAGCAACGATGAAGGCTGGTACGGCACACAAGGGGGTGGTTGGCCAGCACCATGCTCGGCCGCCTTCGTCTCCCCATGTTTACACCAGGTACTAATTTGAGGCTGAGTCGACCTAGGGGAGGCCCAGGACCAGTTCAGATAATCATCACTGATGTTGGCCATGAGCGGGAATCGAACTCGGGTCGCCGGGTTCATAGCGCAGCGCGCTAACCGCTCCCCACACTGTGGCTACACACACACGTACATACACAGACACGTACATACACACACATACATACATACAAAGATAAAGATCCCCCGTATAGCCTTAACAGACTGTAGGGGCAAGTGCTGTTAGCGAGCACCTATGAAGGCCGGAACGGTACACGAGGGGGTGGGTGGCCAGCACCACGCCCGACCACCTTTGTCTCCCCAGTGGCGATGTTTACACACCACACCAGGTACTCATTTGAGGCTGAGTCGACCTAGGGGAGGCCCAGGACCGGTTCAGATAATCGTCACTGGTGTTAGCCGTGAGCGGGAATCGAACCCGGGTCGCTAGGTTCATAGCGCAGCACGCTAACCGCTACACTACCGCTCCCCACAACATACATACATACACACACACATACACACACAGACACTCACACATACACACGAGAACTTGTCAAACCTGACAAGCTGTCAAACTTGTCAAACCGACTAAAGGTCCGTAATCACGGCGGGTAACACACACGATGGCGAAACGTTGGCAGAGGGCTTACCGACGTGTTACAAGATCTGAAGCGTAGCTAACATGAAGCCTGGGCATCGATTGCACGGTTAGAAAACTGTTGAAGGTGGATGAGATAAAAAAAAATGTTATAATTGCGTTCGTACAGCCCTTTTGTATAACCAGTGCTGGATGAGGGCCTCATCCCTATGCTGTGCGTGTCGTGTGGGCATATTTGAGCACAACATTGCCACGCTGGCCACCGGCGGGTCAATGAAGGAGCATAGACAAGGGAGCAAAGAAGCAGAGTACATCAATGGATTTTGCTGCACCGCCACCACAACACCTTGCCATTGCTTCCTTCCATCTGCCGAATCATACGAACACAATCCTCCAACGCAAGTATTCATTCCGCTTGTGTAAAATGTACGACTTTTATTTTAAATGAAAAACGCATTAATTATCAAGTGCGAGGTTCCCAGATGCCACGAACTGCAGCAGCCCCATCGAGTGACGTTAATTAAAACCTCTTTAACCCATAACAGGTGGCACCGCTTCACGAACTCACCTGCAAAATAAAATTGTTATGCGTGCGTAAATAAACATTTCAGATGCAGTAGAACATGCATATAAGTGTGCCTTATACAAGCACAGTTCTGATATTAGCAACACATCCTATTATTACATTGGTGCGGAGAGGGCAATTGTAATTTTATGATACAACCACACACACACATATATGTACTCCAGGTGTATTTAAATCCAGATTTTAATGTCAGAGAGGTGATTCGTGATGTCTGAACTGTTTATGATCCCACCGTTCAACAACCTGCACTTACTAGCACGGCGAAGTATGGTTCAACATCCCCAATGACCGACTGCATATACTATACTTTACAAGGTAAGGCCGCATGTGTGAATTCAAACCGCATAATATCATGACTTTTAGATAGAAATGTATATTTGTTGAACTTCTTTCGCACCGTATGTAGCCAATCGTGCTAATCAGAGGGAGGTTAGCCCCCCATGCAAAAATCGCACAAACAGAACCCGCATAAAGCGAGGAAAACCAGTATTCACCGATGGATATAATTGCTGGGGTTGCATAATAACAACTCTTCTTTTTCCCCTCCGCAAAATACAGATTCTAAAAATAGCAAAGTACAACTAAAGTGCAGAAAGGTATTAGCTTTCCACTTATGTTTTGCGAAACCGAACTTGACGTCGGGAGGATAGCGCTTTAATTGGGGGAAGAAAAAAAACTCTCGGCCGGCATTTTTACCGCCGCGGCGCTCCGCGTTATCCGCAGTTCACAAGGGTCGCTTGGCAGCTCACCCCAGCTAACGATGACAAGCCAGAACGTGACAGGCACAGGATTTAAGCGCTCTAACGAGGCTCGGCTTAATTACCAGGCTCCCCGTGGAGGGTCATCCTGTAGAATATCGTTGTCGCTTTTTCGAGGCTCAGCACCAAAACCACACAGATGCACGAAGCCCACATCGATGTGTAGTCACCATCAAAACTCATAATTACCTTTTCCGTTAAACGGAGGCGAGGGCAAAGAGGTAAAGGTACAGCCCTGCAATTAATCGCTCAATGCCAATGCTGCTCAAAGGGCTCCAATAGAAAGGGGTCGAGAACAGCTCCTCTAGAGGGTGTTTTTAGCATGCTCTTCCACACCGGTCGGATGTTTTGCAAGTGAAAATGGTACCCACACTTCGACCCACCACACACGATGAACTTACTGCGGTGTACCCATTTACACTGCTCTATGTATGTTGAACTTCTCACCGTACGTAGCCAACCATGCTAATCGGGAGGTGCGCAGAAAGGGCAACAAACTAAACACAAAAAGCAGTTCTAAAGAAATTCGTTTTCAAAAAAAATAATTTCGGACAGAGGCAGCAGGGGATTTAAGAGACTTGCACTCTTGTTTCAACTGCCGCGACGGGAGATTGGATCAAACCGGCGACCACTAGATTGCAAGTCCAGTGCGCTCACCGTTACACCACAGTGGCAGCAATGTTTTAAATGGGGGGAGGTTTTAAAAATATCAAAAAATATTTTATCCAGTAGCCTAGTGTAATTGGCGTGGAGGATGGTGCAAGGAATGAACTGAAAACTGCCCCCCCCACCCCAAATCCGTGTAACAGACTTAATTTCACACCACATCCATTATACATCTTGTTATCACTGTGAACACTAGTCACGTGCCACCTTCAGGTCAGCCAGCGCTTCAGGATATATTCCGTGAAAATTCAAGTCGTGGCTACGCAACTGATTCCGCTCTGCAAGGCGGCAAATTATTTAGCAGGCTGCGCTACCATAACTTGTAATCTGAATGCCTTTAAAAAAACAATCGTCAACACAGTGTATGTATGTGTTGCCATGTTTTCAGCGCACTCGGAGGAGGACCACATTTTTTTTTACTCCACAGCGAGAAGAAATAATCCACACGCTTTTGCACACGCGCATCAGGCAAAACTAAAGTTAAATAAAGATCCTTTTTAAAATTATGACCGGATCTGGGTGCTCGCATTTGACGACCCCAACCTTCCACCCGGTGAAAGAAATATAAAAGGGCCCCTTTCTAGAAAGCAGGTTGGAGAAAGACCTCTTTCTCTTTAATAGCGCCCCCCCGTGATCCATCATAGGCACGAGCCTGGAAGCAATACAAAAGGCTCCCGTCTTCCTCATACCACCAGCGACTGCTTTCGTCCACGATATCACAGACAAAAAGGCGGAATTTTGTCATGCCGGACAACTTCTTCCTTTAGTCATTCGTAGGCATGTGACGATTTCTCACGTGACACAATTGTCTTTGATCTAATTCCTACTTGCTTCATCGTTGTCCTTTATTTGAATAGTTTCGCTTCTGTCATTTTGGTCATCCAGGTTCCCTCTTGTAACAGAAACTATCCTGGTCTCTTTGGTTCTTACCTTGATAAATTATATAAAACTTGAAACTTGATCGTAGAATGACTTAGTGCCAAGGCAATAGTTAAGCTTCATCGCTTCTATAACTTTCCCTCCATGGAGACTTCCTGTTATTGCACTTTATCAGAGAGGAGATAACACAAAAATGTAGATTTGCTGCTTTCTGGGGACATGATCGTGTCCGACAAGGCCGTGATGGATGTGATGTTTACTACCTGTAAGGTCGACAAAATAAAAAACAACGACGCACGTACCATGACAGACAAGTGGCACAACTGTGCCAACAGGAAACACAATAGAGAATCTCACAACACCAAGTTGTCACTTTTTGGTCGCACAAAAGTTGGCATCGTTACCAGATTCAGCTGATAACTTGGCAGTATTGCAATGATTCATTTCAAATACTCCTCTAGCGTCGAAGTAACACAGTGATTGCAGAGCATTTGAGGACATTGAATTAATTCATCATTATTTGTTCAAAATAAAAAAAATGGATGAGCCATACCGAATCAGAATTTCGCTGAAAGAAACGAAAAACCTTCTGATCCAGCGATGACCAGACTCTGCAGTCCTCGTGACCCACTACGTTGCGACCTTTTCCTGACCTCGTGCAAATCGTGCGGCAAAACGCGACGCACACCCCCGGTGGTTGACAATCGCACAAAAACACCCCCCTCCCCTCACCGCTTCTCCGCCTTCCCCAGAGTAGGACTTGATACTCTTAGTTCTTTCGGTAAAGTCACATAGGTAAAAAATTTTATTACAATTAATAAAATAAAAACAATAAAATCACGACGTTTCGGAGGCAACACAAGCTTATTTTTTATTAATTTTAATTTCATTTTTTACCTACGTGACTTTACCGAAAGAACTAAGAGTATGAATCCTTGCAGTCACGAAAGCTTCAAATCTAGAAGTAGGACTTGAGTTTAAGGAGCACCCCCACCCCCCGCCCAACCGCCCAACCGCTCCGCGGACGAGTGGTGGCACGTCGCGGCAAGTACCGTCCTGGAAGACGCGCTCCACGTTGAGTCCGTAGGTGGCGCACGTCTCGTAGTAGGTGCAGCGCTTGAGGTCGCCGGAGAGCTTGCGTGCGCGCGCGTCGTCGATGACGCGCGGATTCGCGGCGCTGATGGCATCTGCTCCGCCGAAAATGACGACGAGGTGGAGGTCGTCGTCGTTGCCAAGACGACGGGGACGACGCGACGGTGAGATAATACAGACAACTTGAACATCCGTATCATCGCGACGCATGTAGCATGCATAACAATGTAAGCACCGTAGTCTCCATGTATGCATGTTGAGCTTCTTTCGCACCACCGGGGGAAGGACAACAAACTAAACATGAAAAGCTTTTTTAACGAAATTAGTTTATGTATATAAAAGATTATATGAAATGTATTTTAATGTCCACATTGTGACGAGACGACTAGACGCATTCGATGTGGAATTCCGTAAATGACGATTTAGATTGCATTACAAAGTTATAAGAATCTGTCCACACACACACAGACACATCAACTGGATTAAAATACACCCCCAACTTCATACTATATTAAAAAGTATTGCTGGCTGGAGGCACGGACGGAAGGTCAAGTCCAGTGGACGTGCGGGGCTGCTAGTTGACCTTTATTTTTAAAGTGCAACTTAGAACCGGTCATTTATTTCACAAACTATTGCATTTACAGTATGCATGAGAAAATATTTGTATCAACGTACCTTTGCATGCCTATGAAATGGTATGTGTGCATACGCGTTACGTTTTTACCACAGTCATAGAATGACTAGCTCTAGGCATAGGAATGTAGAATATCCGCCACCCGTCCAGGGCTATAAGCAGATCTGAGCACCACCACCTCATGTGTTTAGATCAAATATCCACTTAAGAGGGCCTCTCTAGATCTTCCCTCGAGTGGAGGGCCTTCCGCCAGCATTTACCTACTACTTGGTAAATTTTATGTCCCCACGAGTTTCTCGTCATTTGCAGCGAAACGCTACGATCGGTTAACCGTTCCGTTTTGCGCGACAGGTCCAAGCTCACCCTGCGTCCCAACGAGCACGATGGGCATATCGGCCATGTTGCGCGACGCGGAGAGACGCGAGTAGTAGTTGTAGACCGTCTGGAAGCTGATCTCATCCTCGAGGCTGAACACAAACACCACTGCGTCCATCCACGCTGCAAACTACACACACGTATAAACATACACGAACACACGCGCACGCACGCAGAAAGATGTGCACTACTTGAGCATAATGGCACCAAACATATGAAAGTGGGAACAAATGACGAAACGTGCAGTGGACACCTACAGGGCTCTCTGCCTATAGATCGTGATGATGACACACGCACAAAGAGAAAGATCAGACATGCTAACTATTGGATCGAGTGCTGTTTATATTAATCATCATCAATGATCAGCATCATCAGACATGGGCGCCATGGTGGAGAGATGTTAACTACTTCGCCTGGTATGCAGGAGGTCGTATGTTCGAGCCCGACCCTGACACCTGTATATTTGGAGTTTGCATGTTCTCCCCGTGGAGGCGTGAATGTTTCTCCGGGTCCTCTGGTTTTTCCCTCCACATTTAGAATCAACATGCATTTAAAGCACTTGGCTGCTTTACATTTCCACGTTACAAGTCGCTTCGTTGAGCTATAATTTGTGGCCGCAGGCGCTTCTGAAAAAGAGCTGTCAAGGTCAGTGGGCCTTACCTGGTAAAAATTTTTTTAAAAATTGTTAATAGTTTCAGTTCAGAGCCCTAATCCACTGCTGGATTAAAGCCTCTAAGTTGTCCTGCGGTGTTAATAGTCAACCTGGCACCTACGCACGAGCTCTATATATTTATTTATTTATCGCTATCTTAGTCTGTGGTAGTCATGAGTGGAAACATTGAATGAGTGCGAAGTAATTGTTTTGTCAGTAGTAGCAACCGTAAGTGTTGTTTTATAGCAATAACGTAAACATGTATTAAATAAGATGGTAAAACAATACTGACAATAGAAAAAAAACAGTGCCACTAGCGAGCCGTTAAGAAGGCGATACAATAACGAATAACTTGCAACCACTTTTCAATCCACTGCTGGATGTAGACTTCTCCATACTGTGTCAGTTATGGGGATTGAGCATACTTCACCATGCTGGTCAATGTGGTTTGGTGAAAAGGCAGCTGGGAATTAGCCCGTGACTGGTTCAGATTCCATTCGCCGCCACTGATGCTAGCCGTGGCCGAAAATAAAATTAAGAAAAAATATATATTTTTTTAAATGGTTTGTCAGGTCCATAGCCGAGTGCACGCACCACTTAGCCCAAGCTCTACCCAAAATTATTATCAATAATTATCATTACACCATAAGTAAGGCCACCCTTGGAATTTTTGCTCAGTAATGTTTTACATTGGTGATTAGCTGGCAGAAGTGAGACCCCGACTTGTTGATTTATGCAAAATTCAATTATAATGTAATTCGTAAACAATGTAATTCGTAAACAATCCATTAAGGGACTGCATGGGCAATCGTGCACAATCACCCGTTTAAAAAAACAATACAAAGCTCTCTTTTGAGGCAGTGTTAAATAATGAAATTGGTGAATTTCTAAATTTATTATGTATTTAACAATTTGGCATAATTTGTTATCAGCCAGCACTAATGATGACTGACAGCACTATAGGCTATAGAGAAGCCAATGGTAAGCATGGCTGCTTTCAGTCAGTTCTATTTGAATGCACTTTTACAACACGACACCTCTTGCTGACAGCATTTGGCTTTTTCCGCTGCACCGGAAACCCAGTGACGCGAGTTTGATTCCCAGCCATGGCTAACATTAGTGGCGAGCGATATCTGAACCAGTACCACCAACCTTCCTGCCTTCACTTTATCAAACCGCAGTGACACCAGCACAATGACGTAATAACGTCAAACCAGGCACGCATTACAAATACAACATTTGGAGGCGTTCATCCAGGAGTGCATTCAATGGATATGCATTGTAATTTATGAACACATTACCCCCCCCCCGCACCTGATTAGCGCCCTGATAACGACTGTTTAAGGGTGCTTCATCAATTTTAATTATGATTGGCTCACAAGTGACGTCACATCTATCCCTCCGTTTAAAACCTAAACAGGAGGATTTCTCCACAACTCTGGCTGTCGCCCGATGAGGCTGGTTGTAATTACCGGCAAAACGTCACGGTACTGGATGGTAAATATTGTGGGTTTACTCTCCGAACACACCGGTATGCTGAACTAGTAGCGAATTGGCACGTTTTGTTTACGTGACAAACTTTACTAATTGGCTATGTCGGGTGGTGGCGAGTTTAACGACACATTTATATTTACGCGATCTGACCGGGAAAAAACTCTATTTTGGATATTGGTCGCGAAATCCCTAGTTGCAATTTAGCATTTTTTGTTTGACCAGGTGAGAATTGAAAGAAGACCAGGATAGTCTCATTGGCTAGAGTGACCTGGGGCACTGGTCTGCCAATAGAGGGGCAATGATTGCTACATATCGATTAATTTGATTGACAAATGGCTGAACGTTATTATTCTTTAATTATTAGATTGGTTGCAAATTGGTTGCTCATCAAACTTCACCATGCAGGTCAGTGCTGGTTGGTGAATGTATTATGAATGTTTAACTTCTTTCGCACTGCACGTAGCCAACCGTGCTCATCGGAGGTGAAGACAGGCAGCATAGATGCGGGAGCGTAGAAATACAGTACAGCAAGGATCGGTTCAGATATCAATCTCCACTGGTGTTGACTGTGGCTGGGAATCAAACTCAGGTTCATAGCGTAGCTTCACTAACCAAGGTACCACTGCTTCACCTCAGCACACACACACACACAAACGGTGGTAAAATAATTGTCGTTTTTCTTCATACAAGAAAATAAATTTCTTAATTTAATTGCTATATTGTAACATGTTGCTATAATTAAGGGGGCTTCCTATCTTCACCGTGGAGGGTAATGATTCATCCCACCCCTCCCCCAACCGGCAATTCAATTCATTGTCAAGAGTTGGACTACGGTTCAATTTTTAAAAAATTTAGATTTATTTTTCTCTTTAACATCTGATTTATATTGTTTAATCATTTATCCTTTCTCAAAAGGAGTGACCTGATTTCAAATCCATGAGCAAACCAGATTCTCAAGTGCAGTGAGCGGACAATCTCAGCCAATTCACTATTGACCACACACAAAAACCCCAATCATTAAATTTAGTTTTGCACTTAATAGAACAAAATTACAGCGAATAAAAGTAAAAAAAAAACTTTATTGTCCTGCAACAATAAAACTGCATTTAAACGAATAAAAGTAAAAATAAAAACGCTATTGTCATGCGACACACATTTTTCTTTTTAGCAGGACAGGTGGGAGTGATGCCCCCTAGTGTGGATAAGAGGTTACTAGACATATCAGAAGTAGTTCTGTGACAGCTCCTTCTGTGGACCGTTCTCTAACCCCTGAGGTGATGTATTGCTCTGTGAGAGTTCTCAATATTTGTCCATTCTATCTCCACCACACCGATAAGCACAGCTGGGATAACATTGGGGCCAACAAAAAAATATTTGTTGATTATGAAATTAATAAATATACCCATGCTCTATAATACTGCACCGTATATACATGCAATGTGTTTGAGAATGTCTGTGCATTGGACTGTGATGCCCTCTGTTGGTTAAAACTTTACAATACACTGCTCAATTATATGTAATCGAAATGCTACTTCATCTAAATCAGCGGTCCCCAACCTTTTTGGCACCAGGGACCGGTTTCGTGAAAGACAATTTTTCCCACGGACCGGGGGGAGGGGGGGTTCATTATTGCGTCTTTCCCCCTTTTCAAAGAAGCTCTCCAGGCGACGTTTGTTTTTTTACTAATTTTGGCTACTAGGGGTTAGCAGCTTGTGGGCTTACCAAAACTGTGACTGAGACAAGTGCGCGGTGCGGGAAAGAGGCGCGGACGGAAGTGGTAAATAATAAAATAATGGGGGCGGGCCACGCGCGGACTTCACCGCTCACCTCCTGCTGTGCGGCCTGGTTCCTCAAAGGCCACGGACTGGGACCAGTCTGTAGCCCGGGGACCCCTGATCTAAATGCTACGTCATCTCAAAGACGCTGTACAGAAACCGTTGGCATATTTATTGATAGAAAAAGTTGGTCAGTTATTGGCATAGGAATAAAGGCAAGTCTTGAGCCTGGACTTGAACAGGGGCAGGGAGTCGATAGCACTGATGGCTGAGGGAAGGGAGTTCCAGACTAGTGGCAGCAAAGGTGAATGAGTGACCTCTCACTCGAGAACATTGACCGAGGGAAAAACAAATAACAGTTTGGGATTCAGTGAAGTATGTAGTGTACAGAGTGTTCAAGTGCTGGTACAACCTACTATTAATGTTATTGTAAACAGGTGCAGTACAACTCATAATCAATGTCTATCTAGAAATCTGAATCGGCTAAAGCCTCCCGTAAACCACATGACTTATGCGTGTGACAACCCCCAACTCTGAATCCCTCCCATCTCCCCGCCCCCTGTGAAAACACTCTGCTCCGTGCAGGCTCACGTGCCCTTGCTCCTCCGTTCCCTCTTCCCTCTCTTCCCTCCCCTCTCATGATCAACCTCCCATCCCCGACATCTCAGACCCGGTCATTCCCTCTCTCCCCTCCTCTCCTCACTGCCCGGCGCTACTCCTTTCTACCTGCTGCTCATCTTGAGCCTGTGGCCTCTTCTTTGTCTACTTTGGGGACTTCCATCCCAGCCATCCCTTCCTTCTTCTAGTCCTTTCTCTTTTTCCACACATTGTATTCTGGACTCTACGCCCCTTCCTGTGGTGTGCCACGGGGAAACAGTTTTTAACGAGCACAAAAATATGAACGGACCATATTAGCAGTGATGTACAAGTCGCAAACAAAACACTTGCCATCTTCGTCGTTAACGTGAATAATGCTACAGCCCTTTGTCAATCCACTGCTGGACAAGGGCCTCAAAATGTCATGTCAGTTATAAGAGTTACTTCACTATACTTTACCACACTGGTCAGCACGGGTTGGTGAAGGGCACGTCCCATAAATGGATCCCGCTGTGTTGTTGAGACCATGAACCGGCCAGGTTGCTCAGCGGCAGAGCGAGCGGCTCGCAATCAGAAGGTTGCGAGTTAAAAATCCTGGTTGGGTGTTGACTCGGTCAATCATACTCCAGGGGTGGATACAATTAGTACCACGTTGTGGAGAGTAAACTGCGGGAGAGCTGTGGATAAACTTGTCCCCGCCATAGGAACGTGGCATTTCCACAATAGGCCCATGACATTGGGAGATGAGCACCGCCTTAGAGCTCAATGGAGCAGAAAATAACTTTGACTTTAACTTGTTTTGCTCCTTGCTGTGGTGAGCGACAGGGGCGAGGGGGGTGGTGGGTGGCGACAGGTTGGCAACTTTCTATTGTTATTCACAGCAGAGGGAATACCAGCGGCTACTCTAGCACACGTGCAAAGTGAGGGATCTACTTGGCTCAAGTACTCTGCAAGGCAGATGAGAGGAATTTCAAAGGAGGAGTTCGACCAGAAACCCAAGCGGTTCACACACAAGGGAGGTTGGCCTAGAGCAGTGGTCGGCAACCTACGGCTCCGGAGCCGCATGCGGCTCTTTACAGGCTACTTCTTGACGATATGTACAGTATGTACTCAGATGCATTGCGGCTCTTGAAATACTGAATTTTGTACCGAATTGGAAAGAAATGGCTCTTCTTGTTATTTTGGTTGCCGACCCCTTGCCTAGAGGGACACTTCATCGTTCAATAACATCAGACACCAAAGCACTTAACGACATACGAGACCTGGAACAACTTGTTCGTGACAGATCAAAGTGGAAACGCCTGGACTTTCGCCTTGCGTGTTTGACGGCACAGGGAGACGAATAGTTACAGCTCTGCTGGGGAGCGGTGGCACAGTGGTTAGCACACTGCACTACGAACACGGCAACCTGCGTTCGATTCCCGCTTAGGACCAATATCGGTGGAGAATATTTGAACCAGTCTAGGAGCCCCTCTCCTAAGTTAACTCAGCCTTAAATAAGTACTTTGTGCGATGTGTAAACATCAGCATTGGGGAGGGGGAGGGGGCGGGGGGGGGGCAAGCAAAGGCAGCAGAGAGTCGGTGCTGGACACCCACCCCCTCATCTACCACCACGCCGTCTTTAATGAGGGATCTTTGTCTTTGTTAACAAAATTATTTTTGTCTTTCTTATCATTACTCTGCTGAGCCGGTTTCAAGCCGCTGAGGTTGTGACGGTTTAATCGTTCATCCCTGTTGCTTCGTGCCCCATGTATAATTCCCGTTCTGTTTTGATGTGCACTGATGCCCACTTTAATGAGGGCGATATTGGCGCTGTAAAATAAATATTGATTGAATGAGTTTTTATATCGTTTACCACCATCCTCATAATCAGAACCGTTTCTGTTTCCTGTGACGCCAACGCTCTTGCTGGTCAGCCGCGTGAAACGTGTGTGCACGTTTTGAACACTCGTGCGCCCGTACATTACTAACCTGTGCCTCTGGAGGTCCCCCTTCATCTCTGATTAGGAGGAGGTAGCTGAGACCTTCAACGGCGATCTCTTTCTTAAAGCGGCCCCCTGAAAGGACAGAGGCCAATGCTCAACACACACACACCACATGTACACAGAACACAAACCCAGGAGGCCAATACTCAATACGCACACACGAGATGTACACACAACACAGACACACTGGTGACCAATGCTCACACACACGAGATGATCACAGAACAAGACATACCAACAGAGACCAATACTCAACACACACACGAGATGTACAGACGACAATTACACGAACCCACGGATCTCAGCCAGCACACTTGCTGCATACAAACAAATGCATAAATATACAATTGAGGGTTCTCCTTCAAAATAAAAACCTGATAACTCACAAACTGTGTGTGTGCGAATATATATTTTAAGATAGCTTCATTGTAAAGTATATTGTCTCATTTACTCCAATCGCCTAAAGACATGCTCGTAATTTGCATGGTCACCACAGTAATGGTTTCTTACACAAACACATTTAACAACACCTATTGGGAACATGAGACCAGATTTTCATTGATCAATACACTAATTGTTACATGCCTGCTAACCACCACCTCCAACCTCACTGCCACCACCATTTACCCACCACAACAACTGCATATTTGAGTGGTGTCCTGCAAATTGCAATGATAACCCACATGCACATTTGTTTTAAACATAACCCAGGTTAACGTCACTGGAAGATTTTACAACGCGTTTGATTAACTTCATAAATCGTCCACTTAAATCCACCTTACTCTCAACAAAAGCCAAACACTTTACTGACAGTTTAACACGTAGGCTTTCGCGACCATTATAATCCATAATAAAGTTTGTGTTTTAAGCGATCTAACCCAAAAAGCATGTCGGACAATGAGACTTTGTGGAGAAGGTTTCTTTCTCAAGGACAACCCTCAAAAAGCGTTCGTGTTGCAGCGGCACGTGCCATTGTGGAAACGGCTACCGGGCCACCGACCACCAACCAGTGAACCGCTGTGAAATCCGAAGTATTCTACGGAGGCGTCAACTAAATCCACCACACATCAGCTGAAGCTATTTCTAGGCTTCTTCTTTCATATGGCTGATGATGTAGATGCAGAGCTACAACGACAATTTTACATTCAGGTGGTCAAGCCAGACAACCGTGTCAGGAGGAGTGGAGTGTATTGCTGCGATGTCTAATTTCTAGGCTAATCCAAAGGTGGCCAGTTCGTTCTCCCGGCCCGCCAGTCAAAACATGGCGCAAGTCTCTTAAACCCCCCTCCCACTTCTGCACGTGGCAAGATAATATGATGCTCCGCAGTTAGTACATTGGCAGGTCGCGTGTGGTGCAGTGTAGATTAAAAGGTCGCACTCATAACACACAAAGTGCTTTCCGCAAATGAACCACCAATACCATCATCACGCGAACTTCTGGTCATCCTCGAAGCAACGGCTTTTGGCTAGCCATCGAACAAAGACGATTACCGCATCGCGTGATTTCAGATGCGCTTTTGCGACCGTCTGGAACGCTCTTCCTTCCGATAATAGGGAAGCCACTGGAGCTACGTACTTTTAAATCTACATTGAAAACTAATTTCTTTAGAACTGCTTTTGGTGTTAAGTTTGTTGTCCTTCCCCTGTACCTCCGATTAGCACGGTTGGCTACGTACGGTGCGTAAAAAGTTCAGCATACATACAAAACAACCGCCTCTTACAAGTACAATTATCCAGCATGAAAGAAGAAGAGAAAACACCATCGAGAGTGGTCCCCTAATGGAGCTCCCTCTACTGGAGGTCCTTCTGCCAACAGTGGCGTGAACAAGCAACAGGAGGGATGCACCCATTACCAAGTTACCTTTGACTATCCATCCAACGACAGCATATGCACAGACAGACACCACAGCCCCTGCTGCAAGCTTGGATGTTTATTTTACCTTCGGGAGACTCCTCCTGTATGTACGTGCCCGTGAGATAGCGATGCACCAGCGCAGACTTCCCACTCGACAGGTTGCCTAGAATCCCCTGAAAGCAAAGGAGACGGGCAGAAGGTTCACGGCGAGCCTCGCGTTATTACACGTTGGCGCACACTCCGCTGGGTGGCGCAGTGGTTAGTTGGCAGAGCCACCCAAGGATTTACGGAGGACCTGGGGACAATTTTCAGATGAAGTCACCTCGGTATTTGAGACTCGCCCCCCCCCCCCCGAACCCTTTTCAGAGGTCCCTCAGATCTGAGGGCCCCCCCCCCCCTGGATCTGAGGCCTGGATCAAAAATTGTTCCCATCTACACTAAAAACATAAGACATTTTATTCTTATATTCTTGGATATTTCGGTAAAGTCACCTAGATAGTTTCAAAGAAAATAACTAAAATAACGACGTTTCCATCGCGACACAAGCAATCGTCATCACATCATGTGGAAATGTATAGCAGCCAAATACTCCAAATGCATGTTGTTTTTAAATGTGGAGAGGCAAAACCGGAGGACCCAGAGAAAAATCCACTCGACCACGGGGAGAGGGCATGCAAACTTCAAATATACAGGCATCGCCATGGTCAGGATCAGGTCCATCTGCTCCTCCAACACCCACCCCCCCATCTCTACAGCTCTGGCGTTTAGAGCACAGTTCATAATGAGGTCACGAGTTCAAATCCTGATGAAGGGCAAGTCAGCATCGTTCACTCCTATAGGGTGTCAAATAGGAAGCACTTTTTGACAAGTCAACAGTTTATTAACCGTACACCCATTGTTATCCTGATTATGCTATCAGTCGTGTATCACGAGACAAAGTATCCAATCGGCCCTCACTTGAGAATGTTCACTGGAAGCGAATACCACAGAACAACCTGAGATCTCTTTAAGTGACCACTGGTACAGAGTAGGTGGCAAAAGTCAATTGCAATCCTGTAAGCCAGATCAACGATGGTTGCATGACAAACCGATATTTTCAGTTTTAAAAGATGGAATTTAGACAAATAAAGTGTGTAACCAATTAAAATGTGATAAGTTTTTTTGTGTGTGTATTCATTGAGAGTGAACATGCAGACACGATCAACATACAAAACTTGTGAATTGTTTAATGGATTCTAACTCAGGATCTCAGCAACGTCAGCTCAGCACTTCATCCTCTAAGCCTCCTGGCCACTTCTTGACAAGCCAACACCTGTTGTGCCTCATGAATCAGGGGCATGCTGTGGCTCCAAGACTAGTAGGGAGTAAACTCTGATGTGTCGTCGGGTTGCATTGTGCGTTTTCCGGCACGATGTCCGAGGTGTTTCGCTCCACGTTCTGGGAGTTGAATCCTGATGCTGCGGTGGTGAAATGTTAACTCACTCACTTGGTATGCAGGAGTGCATGGGTTCGATCTCGATCCTAATGCCTATTGTACATTTGGAGTTTGCATGTTCTTCCCGTGGTCGTGTGGATTTTTCCCCGGTTCCTCCGGTTTTTCCCTCCATATTTAGAATCAACAAGATGCGTTTAGAGTATTCTTAGGTTTTTTCGGTAAAGTCACGTAGGTAAAACATCAAAATTAATAAAAATAAAATAAAATAAAGATCACGACGTTTCGGAGGCAACACAAGTCTCCGAAACGTCGTGATTTTTATTTTATTTTAATTAATTTTGATGTTTTACCTACGTGACTTTACCGAAAAAACCTAAGAATATAAATCCTTGCAGTCACGAAAGCTTCAAATCTAGAATCAAATGCGTTTAGAGTATTTGGCTGCGATAAATGTCCACATGATCAGCCACTTCGTTGAGCTATCATTTGTGGCCAGGTTACTTCTGAAAAAGAGCTATACAGCTTAGTGGGCCTTAACTGGTCAAATATTTTTTTTTTATCAATTTAGTTTAGTTTGATGCCACTGAAGAAGCTCCTAGCATGCCGACAAAATGTCAGACGGGATGCTGAACAACACGCGGAACATCACGAAAACGCATCGGACAGCTGCAGAGGACAAAACCGCGAAAAACCTACGCAGTCTGCTCGCCTAAGGTTTCTCAAACCACGAAAACCCAAGCAGCGCCCTCGGAGAACAGGTCTGGTCACAGCCCAGCGGCACTCACCACTGCATTAAACATTGACTTCTGCTTTCCGAATACTCTAATTAATGCATCACCTGCTCATGTCACCTGCAATTAGAAACCCTACGACGGACCTCTCTGGCGAAATGATCCTGGAGTCAAGACATGCCACCGCTATGAATAGACTTGCCTCCACTTAGGAATGTGGAACTTTCACCAATGACTCAGTGTAGTAAGTGGAAAATAAGCACAGCCTAATGCTTGCCTGAGTATAAAACCACTTCTACTTTCACTTGACATATCGCTGGCAGAAATGTGAAGTGATTAGGCATGAAATGATGAAATATAAGAATACGTTTTATCCTTTCTGGCCAAAATACAGGTGTTAGGATGTTCGAACACCAAATGCATACCTTTTGCAAGGCATCAAGTCTGCATTAACCACATGTACTTGTGGTGAACATGCAAACAAACATGCTGTGATAATATATGCATTGTTTTTTAAAACTGATTCGCCTACATCTGAGACAGCCTTCTTATTGGCCTTGTCACACCAGTGTTAGACCAGAGAACACCAAAAGGAGAAGACTACAATTAACCTCCCTCGGAAGTTGATGAATTTTCCTGATTTTGGCTTCAGATTTCATTTCAAAATGCAATCTTTTTTGCCTTGGTGGTAAATCGAACGGCTCAAGTGGCTGGAGGGTTTATGTAAACCAATGGGAGCAAAGACATATACAAATAGAAAATTAGTCGTCGGAGCCAATATTCAGTGCATTTAACGCATGCATCTTGAGTACAAGGATAATTTTTACTTTTGATATTTCTGACATCCTCATAGCACAAGGCTATCATGATGGAACTATCCTTCACAAATAACTATTGATCACAATAATTTCATAGAAGGGGCTATGTTTATGTGTAGTTGTTTGTAATATTTGTAACAACTACACATCAATAACAAAAAAAATCTACATTTTATATACCTGGTAAAGCCCATTAAATACATTAGCTCTTTTTCAATGGTGACCTGGCCACAAATGATAGCTCGTCAGCGTGGGAATTTACAGCAGCAGCCAAATAATCTAAACGCACATTTTTTTAATGTGGAATGGGGAAAAACTGGATGACCCGGAGAAAAATCCACGTGACCAGGGGGAGAGAGAGAACACACGGACTCAAAATATACAACAGTAGTTGTCAGGGTCGGGATCGAACCTATGACCTCTTGCATACCAGTCGAGGGAGAAACCATCTCTTCATGAGACCTTTAATGTCCACTGTAGACGGTGTGTAGATTGCGGTTAAAACACCTACAGTAATTTACCGGGGCGGCCGCGTTTTTCGAACCGGTGCAAAAAAGTGGATAACTGCACTGCCGCTTGGCAATATCATCTTCAAGAATCAACGTATGTCATCTCTCTCCCATGGGCCGTTCTTTAACATTGAGGGTTGCACTGTTGTGCCAGAGACACTTTGTCACATGACATAACGCCGATAGCACAAATTGGAATGAAAGTGGTAAATGGGCAAAAAAAATCCCCAAAAACTAAAATGTAACCTATATTTTCATGGTGATCTCTGCACTTTCACATGGGTCCAGTTTGAGAACCCACAGCATAGGATGTAGCGGTTGCAAGCATTTATGAACAGAGATTAAGGATCGTTGTAGATACAGTACAAGGCGAACAATGGCAGGAATTATAAGGAGGGGGTAGGAGCTGGATGTTTTTGCGAAATCCTTTTGTTGTTGGTGCTTACCACTTTAATCTCTTGCACTGACCGGCTCAGAGTCCACTCCTGACTGTTGACAAACGAATCTGCATGAAAACACAACACCCCAAAAGAATTAAATTCCACCCACAAAAGCTGTGCATTTCGCACAGTAAATGTTAAGCAGATACAATCAACAACTGGCGGATTCCGTGGCCTTACTCGAGAAACCATACAGTAGCCAGTAGATTTGCTGCGACATCATTTTTCACGGTATGAACCAAAACGATATTAAATGTCACGACACGATGATTATCGCGATGTCAATTTCCTACAACTTTCCAATCCTATGGCACATTTTTATCGCCTTGGTTTGTGCTTTTATGTTCTTCCAAGTACAGATTGCTTAAAAGTTATTCAACTGCAGTTTGCTTAACACAAGTCTGTCGCAGGTTCTCTGATCACGGCAACTTTACGATCTGTTCACTTATTATGGACATCAAAATCAATCTATCCAAAAAAACTGATAAGGCACACACTTGATGGCCTATTGCTTTTTCTTTTTTAGAACTTTAATTATTATTGTAAACTTTCATGACTGTCATTTCTATATTTTCAGAAGTCCTTTGCGGGTAAATAAAATATTTTGAAAAAGTAAATTTACGACATAATGGTATACAGGCATTTGCTGAACGGACAATACAATTATTGCGGATCTTACATCATATCATATATCGCATCATCGCCACATTGCGGCAACATTAGTAGCAGACATGTTGTATAAACCTGCGATTGATTACACATGCACACGACACGCCATCGAAGGCAAGGGTTTGTGGATCGCACGCAGATTTGTAAAACACTGAAAGCCCTTCCGATTCAAGATAGCAAAGAATACGACGGTACAACAAGCATGTTCGCGACAGATCAGTGACCAACTATAATTGTAATGGTGTCGTTCGCAATTTAATTGCAAATCATTGTGTAATTGTAATGGTAATTTCAGCCAACAACACTGCTGTAGAACTAATTGTAACTGACCCCGGGTCTGTTTTGTGAACCAATCTGTACAGACCCTCCTTTCTGGGTTATACCTTCACATGCATGGGTTTGTTTTCTCTCTCTCTCCCAGTTACAGTAGTGTACTCTAGTTTCCTCCCACACAAAGCCACTAATGGAATTAACCAAACATCCCAAAGCAGCACCCTCCTGAAATACGAGTCTTGTGGCTTTCATGGATAAATAAATTACACAATTACTACTGCAATGAATGTGCCACATTTTGTGTGTGTGGGGTGTGGGGTGCATTTGGTGTCACATCTGCGAGTCGTCTCAGTTGGTTAACCCATAACACCTGGGTCCATCACCGTGACCTCACTGGCCAAGCGAAATTTCGACAACTCACAAAGGGCACCAAGCGATGTCGTGAAGCTAACATCATTTACCCGCCGTTGTTGTTGGTGTCACAATGTGGTTGACCGAGGAACGTGATGAAATTTGTGTCACCAGTTTGAGGTGGTCAGATATAAACACAGTGATCGCGCCGAAGCACATGGGACACATACCAGACCAGTGACCCAGCAACTAGCCACAAGAAGGTGCACTTTCAACAAGCTCCATTGCATCTCTGCCTGTGTATACAGTAAGCAACTGTAAAAGCACGAGTGTCCTGAATCAGCACCTCCTGCTTCTGTGCCCCCCTCTTTCATTGTCACCGTCTGTGTCTCTCCTCCTGTCTGCACATTTCACGTCACCGTCTGTCTCCTGTGCGCGTGTGCCTCTCGGTGTCTCTCGATCACCGTGCGTCTCCATTCCATGCCTCTGTATCTCTCTGCCCTCTTAGCGCACGAGTCTTGTGGCTTTGGCTATACAGGATCTCTCCTCCGTAACTCCGATTAGCACGGTTGGCTACGTACGGTGCGAAAGAAGTGCAACATACATATACATAGTGTGTTTCTTCATGAGCCTATTTCTACGTGACTCCACATTTCTCTCCCTTTCTCTATTTCCATATCACTGCATCTCTCTTTTCCCCATGTGTCTCTCTCCACACGTCTACATTTCCCCAACACTGTGGCTCTCCCTCCTCCCCGTTTGTTCATCTCTGTCACTGTCTCTCTCCTCCTGTGTCTCTCTCCTCCAACTCTCTTTCCATGCCGATGCATAGTGTGTGCTTCTACGTCTCTTTCTGTCCTATGTGTCACCACGTCCTTCCTTCAACCACACCCCTTGTGCATTTCTCTACTCCGCAGATATGTCTCTCCCCATATATGTCTCTCCCCATGTCACTCAAACTCCTGCCATGTGCGTTTCTCTGCTCCTCTCCTGTCCATGTATGTCCGCCTCTGTCTCGGTTTCCTTGTCTCTGAGTGGCGGTCTGTATCCCCCCTCCCATGTGCTTGTATCCCCCGTGTCTCTCCATGCATCTGTCTCTCAGTCTCTTGCTCTCCGTTCTGTGCATATTTCCCCAGGTCTATCTACTGATGTTCCCCATCTTTTGAAACATATAATTTGTACTCAAGCCTGGAACCTGCTGTTGAAATTCTAAAAAGTGTTACATTGATATGGTGAAATGTACTCGGGGGTTTTTGTCAGAAACGGAAATTTACATCAGTAAGCCATTGATCGGAAATATTAACTACTTTACTGTATGGCAAAAATGGCTTCAGAAAACCTACGTAACTGCTCTTTAAACATTATCTTAATTAGTTTTTTAATCAAATAAGGACGTGACATTTTGGACTAGCTTCATTAACTGTGTAATTGTGGACATGACACAAATGCATGGGGTACTGGCACTATGAAATACTGTTTCCGGAACTTGTGTTTCACGACAACAAAACTATCACCGTATCACGATTTCTGATACCGGTAATCTCCTAAATTATAACTCTCCGTAAAGTAAGACGCACCTCAAACTCTCCCCAGTGTCTGTAGATGTATACAAACAGGGTCTATCACTCTCACACACCTCCTGGGTTATAAGACGCAGTGCAAACTTTTGCTAGAAACTACAGAGAAAAAAGACCTGTCTTAAAATCCAGGGAATACAGTAAATGGCCAACACTATCAAACCTCGCAACAGCTCTACCGATGTAATCATATACATGATGATTGGCCGAGCTATTGTCATTTTTTTTAAAACACTGTACGTGTACACCATGCAGTCACACTTGTTAAATTTCAGCCTGATAGGATGTGAAATTTGAAACTATGGCACTCTGGGATTTAAATGAAACCAACAGAGACGTAGCACTGTTCACCCGATGACGCACCTTTGCATGTCATTTTCATTTTGTTTGCAATGCAAAATTACATTCGGCTGTGGATTCAACACATAATTTTAGACACTGTAACCGCCAACCATAGTTTTGACTTGCACATCGTACTCATAATCTTGTCATTGTAAAAAAAGTGTGATATTATCTATTTTCCTGTAGTGTCCCCTATTTCATCGAGATTTTGCCGACTGGCATTGCATCATATAATGAAGAATCCATTGTGAAGTCTCATAAAAGTGTAACCCTCATTTTTTTGGAGACTGACCCGTAGAAGCAGACTTCACAGAACTACTACTGAGAGCCCTTCAATGGACCTCTGGTCCACATGTTAGAGGAAAGCCACTTTCCCACAGAGTAAGGTTTTTTCGTCTTCTTGGTTCTTTCGGTAAAGTCTCACAGTGAGAATTATTTTATTTTATTATGTTTTATTTTTATTATTTTATTACTTCCCTTCTACGTGACTTTACCGAAAGAACCAAGAAGATGAATCCCTGCAGTCACGAAAGCTTTAAATCGAAATTTAAGGTTTTTTCGCATTATCAAAAAAATATAGTTTTAACTCTCAAGAGCTTGAATTCGCCAAGTTAAGTGCAGAGCCAAATTAAGTGCAGAGCCAAATTAAATACGATACCTTTTTTCGTCCAATAATTTGTTCAGACCATCAACTCACTACACTTGAGAACCCAGTTAAATCACATCCCGGCTGGCTGCCAGGCTCAGCACTCTTGACCTCTGAGACAAGTGCCCACGTAAAAGTAACGCAAAGAAAGATGTTTAGCGCATATGGAACGACTAAAATAGTAATTTGGAAACCACATTTTCCAAGATTATGACCTACAAGTGTAGGAATAAATCACAACCTTGTAATTCCTACAAGCGAAATGGAAAATAATTTAAACGGCACATCATGTGACATTCAAAGGTGGAGGAAGATGTTTAGCGGAAGTGGAAAAACATTTTTTTTAAACCACATTTCAATATTCATGACCTGCAAACAAAAGACATGATTATAACCGTATCATTCATGGAAACAACGGAAGAATTACCTAAAATGCACATCACATCCTTATGCCCAAAGATACAGGGAAGGAATTAATACTGAATAGGTAGGGAGAGAATCCTTATAAACAACATTTCCCAACAGTAATTAGAAACCACAATTCATGAGCTCCATGTTCTTGCCATATGCCCAAAGGTGGCTAGGAGAAAACACTAGTGTACAGTACAATTAGGCGTTAGAAACAATACTTGCCAACACGATGGCCTGCCAGAAAATTACAAAATATGTTCAATCATAGGCATAAATGCAGACTGGTTAACCCTGCACGAATCAATGCGCTCTGGTCCAACGATGTGGGTAGGGAAATGGTACGGTACAGTCCTCAATGAACTACATTTTGAATGATGAATGCCGACACCTGTAAAGAGAACGATATAAATCACAGCTTTCTCATTCGTTGGCATAAACAAAAACTAACTTAAAATGCACGTGTTATGTCAAAAGATGCAAGGGCGACAATGAAGTGTACAGTACAGTCCTTCGAGACCACATTTCCTTACACACAAACCTGCAAGGAAATGCCATTCACATCCTTATCATTTATAGACGCCAAAACAAAATCACTTTAAATACACTCCATGCTACATCTACACGAGTAGGGGATGGTAAAATCCGTGCACTACAGGTACAGGCCTAAGAAATCATATATCCAAAGTTGAATATTTTATCTGCACAGGAATTATAGAAATCATCACAACCTTATCATTCAGATGCATATACACCGACATGGCTTGAAATGCACAATGTACTTCAGTCCCAATGTAGTGGGAAGGAATAGTAAAGTACAGATAAGAGTCCTTTGAAACCAGATTTCCCACGACGTTATAGCCTGCAATAAACGTTATTGTGGATTGGTAGAAAATAAGAACAAACATATTTAATTTGCACAGAGATTTAAGGAAATAGTTAAGACACCAAAGTTCCAGTCCTTTGAAACCACATTTCCCGAGATGAATTCTGTCCTAATCTTGCAATTAAATGACAAAATAAGAGCATCACCATTCATTGACGTGCACAGAATGGGTTGGAAATACATAATATTATGTCCAAAGTGGGAGATAAAATACAGTACAGTAGCACACTTTAGTATAGGTAACAGTCCTTTGAAATCAGAATTCCCAAGATGTTAGCCTGCAATGAACATTATTCTGGATTCGTGGAAAATAATTAGCAAAATTACCTGATATTCACAATAGATGTTGATTAAGGAAATAGTTAAAGAGTATAATTCCAGTCCATAGAAACCACACTTCCCAATATGATGGCAATGATAGCAATCAAACCCGTATCGTTGGCACGAAACCAAAATGACTAAAACAATACATCGATAGCCTTGTCTGTAAACGTTGTACAGTGGTACAGTACTCAGAAACCACATTCACAATTGTTAAAGCACTATCCATGGGGATGACTAATTCGCATTCTTCTCATTGACAAAACCACAGCATGGCTTGATATGCACATCATGTCCTTGTGTTTCACCAGCAGGCGATGGAACAATGCCTTTACAGGTACAGTGCCCAAAGTGTGGAATGATTTTTGCCGAAACAAATTGTTATTATCTACTCAAAAAGCCACATTTCCATCACCCCCCCCCCCCAATCGTAACGGCCTACAAGAGAATATCAAATTTAAAATGTTATCATACACAGGTAGAATGGTACAATCATGTTCTAATGCCCATTGGTGACCACGAGTCAGACGTTTCAAAACTGGTGCTAAATAAAACACGATTCTAAATCCACATTTGCCATTCCCCAAGATGATGATGGTGAGGATGATGATGACGGTGGTGAAGATCTTGATCTTGAGGTTCCAATGGTGATCTTGTTCCACCAAGGACATTGGAGAGAGGTAATTAAAACATCTCAAACAAGGTGGGTGGGGGTGTAAAAATTTTAACTGCGGATCGATGCAAAAACAACCCCATCGTCAACGTAGGGTGCAAAAGAAGTTTCAACACAGATCCATGGACACACTCTGTGGGTGTTGCTCTCTCTCACCCTCGATGCTGATGACATGCTCACGTATCTGGTTCTGCAACAGAGGGTCCTCGATGTGCTCCAGGAGGTCGTAGATGGAGTAGATGTTGGGGTGGACGCTCTCGAATCTCCGGATTTCGCTTCGGATGGCAGTCGAGTTAGTCAGCTGCTGCTGCTGCTGCATCTGCTGATGATGAATGTTGCTGTTCATCTTCGTGATGTGTGATTTGTGTGTGGTGGTGGTGTGTGTGGTGTGTGTGGTGGTGTGTGTGTGGGATGGTGTGTTCAATCCAGTTTGGCAGTGGTCAAGGCTTGACAATTGTAATATTTATATTTGCTGGTTCTTTTTCTTCCAATAATTAAAACAAACCGGCTGAATGCTGGTACAATGTACAATTCAAACAACACGCTCGTTGCAAATCGGCCTCTTCTTTCACTCCATAGAAACCTCCACATTCGAATCTTCTTCTGATGCCCTCCTCTAATCTCACGTGTGTGGCGTGTGGCGTGTGTCGCTTGTAACTCTTGTTGTTTTCTTCCACAAACAAAAGCAGAAGAACGGAGGTGATAAGGATGGGAAGGGATGGGGAGCACATTTAACATCCCTTAGCCATTCCATCCCCCTCCTCCAGTCTCATTCTCCTCCTAGAATCCCAACAGGGTTCACCAAAATCACCGCCACCACCACCAGCAGCAGCATCACAGACCCGGTCACAAACCACCACCACCATCGTCCTCGTTGTCCCGAGCAGTTTCCTTCTTCTTCTTCGTCCTGATCTACTCTAATTCATGACAACCAGCCCCTTGTGCCGAGTGGCTTTGCCCGCTACTTTACAATGGATCGCATTGCCACGATTGCGTGGTTTGTGTTACAAAGCGCGCACGCTGCGACACGCAAACACACGCCGAGGCGCACCGGATTTGTAAATCTCACTATCGCCGAGACTTTAAAAAGCCACACAATTACCAACAACAACGACATCGGCAAGCCATCATCATCATCATCCTCCTACTCCCCGCTTCTCTTACAACAAGTGTTGCTCGCTCGCTCCCTCCCAGCTCGCCCACCACACTCACTGTCTGCTCTCGCCACCACCACCAACACCCTCCTCCCACCACCACCAACACCCTCCTCCCACCACCACCAACACCCTCCTCCACCACCAACCCTCCCACCACCACCAAACCCCTCCCCCCACCACCAAACCCCTCCCCCCACCACCAAACCCCTCCCTCCTCCTCCCACCACTCACCCACCACCAAACCCCTCCCTCCTCCTTCCCAACCACCACCACCACACCAACCCCTCCCTCCTCCTCCTCACCAACCGACTCACCAACCAACGCCAAAACCCCTCCTTCCTCCCTCCACGCACCAACCACCACCAACCTAAGCCCTCCTCAGCATCCTAGCTCACCCACATCACTCACGCCTCCTCCCACCACACCACAACTCCTCACCAGCCTCCTCCTCCCACCACCGACCACCAAGCCCTGCTCCCCCACCACCACCAGCCCTCCCACCACCACCAAAGCCCTACCACCAAAACCCCTACCTCCTCCGTCCTCCCCCACCACCACCAAAGCCCTCCTCCCACCACCACCAACTCCTCCCCCCACCACCACCAAGAGTCCCTCCCCCGACACCACCAAGCCCTCCCAAAACCACCAACAACCCCTCCTCCATCCTCCCCCCACCACCACCAAGCCCTCCTCCCACCACCACCAACTCCTCCTCCCACCACCACCAAGCCTCCCCCCACCACCACCAAGCCCTCCCACCACCACCAAACCCCTCCTCCTCCTCCCCCCACCACCACCAAGCCCTCCTCCCACCACCACCAACTCCTCCCACCACCACCAAGCCCTCCTCCCACCACCACCAACTCCTCCTCCCACCACCACCAAGCCCTCCCACCACCACCACCAACTCCTCCTCCTCCCACCACCACCACCAAGCCCTCCCACCACCACCACCAACTCCTCCTCCTCCCACCACCACCACCAAGCCCTCCCACCACCACCACCAACTCCTCCTCCTCCTCCCACCACCACCACCAAGCCCTCCCACCACCACCACCAACTCCTCCTCCCACCACCACCACCACCAAGCCCTCCCACCACCACCACCAACTCCTCCTCCTCCCACCACCACCACCACCAAGCCCTCCCACCACCACCACCAACTCCTCCTCCTCCTCCCACCACCACCACCACCAAGCCCTCCCACCACCAACTCCTCCTCCCACCACCACCACCACCAAGCCCTCCCACCACCACCACCAACTCCTCCTCCTCTATACCCCCTCCACTCCAGCCCGCCCTGCCTTCTTCCTCCCTGCCTGCCACACATTCCCCAATTCGCCCCTGGTGGTGGTGGCTGGCGAGAGAGAACGAGGAGAGGGGTGGGGAGGGGATTTCCTGTGCTAGAGACATAACCATTGGGTGCCTCAGCCTGCCAGAGGTCGCCCAATGGCGTTAACTTTCCGGGGCACAATCATTATTTTGTCTTGTGTGGAGGAGGAGGAGGTTGGAGGCTGTGGTGGGGGAGCTGTCGTTGTTGTAGTTGATGGGCGCGCTGCGTTACGAACACGGCGATCCTGAGTTCGATTCCTCATACCTATCAATCAATCCCTTATCAGTGCCCTTACCTTATTACAGACCAATTCAGACCTTATTGGTCACCCACGTGCCCGTAATAAATCTGAACGTTCATTCTACAAAGTCCCATCGCAAGAGAGAAACACAATCACCACTAGTACACTCACCACTGCTCCACTCACCACTAGTACACTCATCACTAGTACACTTACCACTAGTACACTTACCACTACAAACCTTTCAATCCCTGATCAATGCCCTACTTTATTACAGACCAATTCAGATCTTATTGGTCACCCACGTGCCCCCAATAAATCTGAACGTTCATCCTACAAAATCCCATCACAAGAGATAAACACAAACAAATAGACATTGTTTTTTTTGTTGCCCTATTTAAACGGCCTGAAAACTCACTTTCCCTGTACAAGAATACGTGGTAAACCGTATGGGTTGACAGCTAAATGGATTTACCGCTCACAGCCAACAACCCAGCGACGATTATCTGAACCGGTCAACCTCAATTGAGTACCTGGCACGGTGTGCAGTAAACATCGCCACTGGGGAGACAAAGGCGGTCGGGCGTGGTGCTGGCCACCCTATCCCCTCTTGTACGTGTAAGGTTATATACGGGTTAGAGCATTTCGCTATCAACCCAATCAACTCACCTGAGTTTAGATCTCCCAGCAATATCTAAAACAATCAAACAGTGGGTGAACCACACCTAAGATTATCATGGTTGGTCTACGTCCGGTGCGAAAGAAGTCCAACGTACATCTCAACTCGTTCTGAGAATCCCCTAAGGTCGCCTCAGCCTCAAATAAGTACTTGGTGCGGTGTAAAAAAAAACTAACACTGGGGAGACAAAGGCGGCCGGGTGTGGTTCTGGTCACGCCACGGTCACACACTTGCACCGTACCGATCTTTGCAAGGAGCTCGCTAACAGCAAATTGCCCCAAGGTGTCTTTGCCCGCCGAAGTTACTCAGTGATACTGGGTGGAAACAGCTGTCTCTTGCATTTTGAATGAGTGCCAAAAGTATTGCAATTCAGTAATAAACAAATGCAATGTTTTTCATCTTGATTCGCTAAACGGGGATTGAGCCTTGGATGAGTAACGTGGACATGAATGGGAGAATGCCTGGCGTTAGCAAGGTGTTGTAAACTTGAGCTGCGTGGTGGCTAGGATATGGCAGTACAGCAGTGGCAAACAATTACAAACATTTATCTTGATCAGCTGAGCAGGGATTGAGTCTTTGACGAGTAACGTGGACATGAATGGGATAATTATTGGCGTTAATCAAGGTGTTGTAGACTTGAGCTGCGTGGTGGCTAGATGGCAGTGCAGCAGTGGCAAACACATGCAAACATTTATCTTGATCAGTTGAGCAGGTATTGAGTCTTTGACGAGCAACGTGGACATGAATGGGAGAATTCTTGGCGTTATCAAGGTGTTGTAGACTTGAGCTGCGTGGCAGCTAGTATATGGCAGTACAGCAGTGGCAAACACATGCAAACATTTATCTTGATCAGTTGAGCATGGATTGAGCCTTTGACGAGTAACGTGGACATGAATGGGATAATTATTGGCGTTATCAAGGTGTTGTAGACTTGAGCTGCGTGGCGGCTAGTATATGGCAGTACAGCAGTGGCAAACACATGCAAACATTTATCTTGATCAGTTGAGCATGGATTGAGCCTTTGACGAGTAACGTGGACATGAATGGGATAATTATTGGCGTTATCAAGGTGTTGTAGACTTGAGCTGCGTGGTGGCTAGGAGATGGCAGTGCAGCAGTGGCAAACAATTACAAACATTTATCTTGATCAGCTGAGCAGGGATTGAGTCTTTGACGAGTAACGTGGATATGAATGGGATAATTATTGGCGTTATCAAGGTGTTGTAGACTTGAGCTGTGTGGTGGCGAGGATATGGCAGTGCAGGAGTGGATACGCCAAACTAGCATGAATGGGATTGGAACACAAAATCCCAACACAATCGGCAGGAGGGACCCTCCAGAAAATGGGTTTTGAGACTCATAAAATACTTGGCTGAATATTAGTGATAATAATGCTCATTATAATGTACAATTATTGTTTTGGTATCTATACAGTACTTAAGATATAGTGTCTAGAATAAAAAAGGATACGTTTGTCAATAACATTATGGCCTTGAAAGTTAAAGTAGATAATGTGCAACGTTTTGGGGCGCTGGTCTTTAAATATTAAAATGTTTACTGATGATCACTTTTTAAATAGGCGTATGAATCGTAACCTATTACTAGCCATAGTTACCTGAACAAGCAACTGCATTTTCCGTTTCAATGTATAAGACACTTAAACGAATAAAACAATGCCAATATAAGTATATACATTAAATACATCTTGGAAAAAATTTTGAAAAAAACAAGGACATTTTAAACAGTAATTTACATGTTCAATGGTGCAGTGGTGAGTATTGTAATGTATATAGCCAATGTATGGTCAATAATCTGAGTTTGATTCCCAGCTCCGGCCATCACAAGTGATGAGTGATATCTGAACTGGTCCTGAGCCCTCCTCAACTAGTCCGTGCTGACCAGCGTGGTGAAGTATGGGTGGAAACCCCCACGTGGCCGATTCGGTGTCAGTATACGATTCGTTTGTTGCATGGAATAAAACGCCTTCAGGGATTTTTCTTCTTCAAATTTCTACTTATTGCAGTACAAGAGAAACACACCACGTTGTATACAACCGACCGCAGCTTTTCAGTGAGGTTATTTGTTAAAAGGCAGTACAGTGTAATATATTATCCATCCAATTGATTTTTACAAACCCTTTTTACTTGAACAAACATTTATTCAAGCGAAAGAGCTAATTGGAAATGCAGTGTGCAATGTGAAAATTTAATGAACACACTGCTGTTACTGCATTGGTTGTTTTATTTTTAGCAATTCTTTTTTTTAAGCATTGTTCTGCAAATGGTAGCGTTTTTATACTTGCTGAATTGTCCCCTACATTACGAAATACAGTACTGCACTGACGCAAATAAAAACATTGACATTTTGACAAAAGATCGCATGCATTATTTATAATTTAATTACAGTATTTCACATTTGTAAATGTGCAGCCCTGCAACTGCTTGTTCACACAACTGCTGGCAGAAGGGCCTCCACCAGAGGAGCATCAAGACAGCCTTTCTAGCGAATGTTTGGCCTACCTTACCACGCTGAACAGATGGCACGCTCACTCACCACACCATACTTGCCGATTGCTAACCGTAATTATATAATACATATACTCTTCATTTATACCCAGGTGAGACCGCATTGTGACAAATGTCTGTACAACAGAGTACTGGGATGCAAGGTGGCCGGGAGATGGCAGTATAGTAATGAATTCTTGAATCTATCTGTGTAGCACTTAGGTGCTACCGACTCATACGCATCAGTCTCCTCTTACTTGAATTTTTCTAATTTTGAAATCACCAGTTGCAAATGACCTTTTTTT